TTGAAGTGCAATTTGGCACGCATCAATGAAGATTATCAAGGATATGCTGCCATATATACATACATAGGTATGTATATACATACATAGGTATATATAGACACATTTAAGTGGCCGCCAAGCATGTGGGCTATATGAGGTCAGGTGGCTTGACGTCGAGGCATCAAGCGGTGGCAGTGGCAGTGGCAGCAACTGTTGCAAATCGCTAGTGCCACTTCAATCCACTCGATGCCACGCTCAATAAACAATAGTGTAACCAAAAAATAAAGTAAATCAAGGTACCGTAGTGTAGTCAAGAACGGGGCGCATCCTAAATAAACATTACTTATCCGCCGTGAACTATGCAGGTGACTGGCGCAGCTGTCGTTGCCAATCAGCTTGCCCAGGTGCGCGGCTCACTCAGTACGTGTGTATGTGTGTGTGTGTGTGTCCAGTTACCTGACTCCTGTGCTTCAAGCGTTTCTTTGGTTAGTTGCCCAGTGATTTTCCAATAAAAATGAAATTGCATTTGATGATGCCAGGATATGTTTTTTCCCTATTTTTTTTTTATTTTTTTCAATCGCAGCTTTTACTCGTTTTCTATTTTCTCTCTTTTCATTTTTCATGTTCTACTGCGTCGTTTATAGAAAATTGAATAAAGTGCTGGTGGCATAACGACAAACTGTTCGTTGAATGAGCGCGTGATTGCATGACGCTGTTCTGCACATCTAGCCAGGAGGGCGCTGAGGAGGAAGTGATTAGTGCTGCAGCGTTGTCCTTCTTATGTTGGATGATATCTTTGTGTGTGTATGTGTGCGTGTGTGTGTGTGCGTGTGTGTGTGTGTGTTTGTCTCAGTGTCGCATTACAAACAAAACAAACTCACACACACACAAGGCCACACAGCACACAATGTCAATTGTGTAGTCTAAACGATTTAAAGCAAAGCTTTGATTTTATTCTGCTCAGCAGATGTTTTTTTATTATTTACAATTTGTATTAAGTTACAGTTAAAAATAAAATAAAAAAGAGTTCATAAATTGCACATCAGCATGCACACGACCAAGATCAAGGAGGGCGATGAGCGGGTAAGTCAGAGTTGGCGCCACATGCTCTTCACATTAAATTAAATATATTCACCGCCCCTCCCTGGTCTTTGTCTATCCATTACCTTCCTATGCAGGAGGAGATGGAACTGAATCAAATCTGGCGCGCTTGTCGTAAAATCCAAGGCGCCATTTTTCGTTATAACTTTGACATCTGCGCCGATTTAAAGCAACACGATCCCGACTGCACCGGCTATGTTTCGGGTAAGCGCCAGCCTTTGGCCACATTTCACTGCACTTGCCGCGTTTTTATGTCCATTTTACGACCCCGACAGAGTCTATATTCACATCGGTGCTGGGCAAGTACCGGAAGGTGGTGGGCATGTCAGAGTTTGAGCTGAAGGATGTCACAGACTACTTTCAAATACGCGATGGACGCGTCGCCTATCGCCAGTTCTGCAAGACCGTCTGTTCGGAAAGTGGGTGCATATGGGTATTCTATATTGATACAATGGCTAACACTTTCCCTTTGTAGATCTGAGCAAGACTGCCGACAAGGAACTGGCCACCGGACTGGAGTGGAATGATCCCTGGCATCTGAATGTCATTGTACAGCCGGAAGAGCGCCGCAAGCTATGCTTGATATTGTTTAAGATAGCCAAAGAAACCCACTTGCCATTGATGCCCTACTTTCAGGACTACGAATTGGTCAGTTAGCAGTATATCCAAAGACTTATCATTTGCTTTTCGACTAAAAACTATAAAAAGCCATTTTGATAAATGACGATCTATTCGTCTGACTATTCGTCGACTGAACGGACAAATGGACGAATCGACGGGTGCTAAAGCTAAAGAGCAAACGACCAAGCAGATGGACCGATAAACGAATGGACCAACGGACGAGCCAACGGACGGACAGACTAATGGTCAAAGTGGCAAACGGATGGATGGACGAACGGACGGACAGACAAGTGGCCTGTCACATTGACCACTGTCCGTCAGTTAGCCATCAGATGGATGGAGGATCGTACAGGCTGTAAGGACGGAGGGAAGATAAGACACAGGAAAAAACGAGAGAGCAATTTGAAGACGGATCGACGACCGAGAATATAGATTTTAAGATAGGTAAAACAGACGAACAGACAAACGTACGGACGAACGGGGGGACAAATTTAATGATGGCGGAAGAACGGGTGAAAGATAAAGGGATGAATAGAAAGACGGACGGATGGTTAGACGAACAAATTGGCAACTGATTCAACTTAACTCGTCGTGCTGATCAAGCAAATGTTTGCCTTATGCCACGCCCCTTCTGTCTAGTACATACATTTACGCTAAAAATCGCGAGTTACAACCTAACCATATATTTTCTGGAACCCCAAATGTTTAAACTATTCAAAAGATAAATTAAAGCTACAATTTATTTATAGGTATCTCAACATGTGGGCGTAGTGACCGTCTCGCACTTCTCGCGCGTGCTCCACTTTATGAAGATACCATTATCGGAAGCCGATTACTTGCTATTGCTCAAGCGCTACATGAAGGATGGCTACTTGGTTAACTATGTGGCCTTTCTCAAGCACATTGACAATATTATTGAATACTTGCGTCAACACAATCTACTTGACGGTTCGGGAGTAAGATTCGTTTAGACCTGCATTTGAATGCAGTTAGTACTTAAACTCTTTCCATTTAGGATCTGATTGAGAATTTTCCGGGTCGCCTGGTGGACCTGGAGCTGTCACAACTGCCAGCGATCAATGGCTGCCAAATGATACACCCCATATTTCCAGATACATGTAACCATCCAAAGAAGAACCGCGGCGAATGCGATATCATATTCTGCATACAGAACTATGTGTATAAGAATCGTATACGCACCTGTGAGTTCCTGGAAAAGTTCGATGCACTGCAGGTGGGCTGCATCACCAAGAATCAATTCGAGCGCGGGCTCTCGCTCATGGGCGTGGGCAAATATCTGTCGCGCCGTGAGTTGGACTTGGTGATGGATCGCTACGTGGATCCGGTGGACACGAATCGCATACGTTGGCGCAATTTTGTCGATGAAATCGATACGGGTATGAACAACATGATATCTCACTAAAAGTTTGGCAAATCTCTAACCACTCTGTCTCCATTCAGTGTTCACCATGAAGAATCTGGACAAGATGCCGCAGTGTGTGGTCGAGTCCCCGTTGGCGCATATCAAGGAGATGCCACGACCTGGCACCCTGGACTGGCAGGCGGCCCCAATGGATGTGCGGGAGTTGTGCGAGGAGGCCATAGCCAAGATACGGATACGCATACGCAATCGTCGCTTATATCTGCATCCATTCTTCCGCAACTACGACAAGTGAGTAACAGAGCGAATGCCTTTTGAAGGCGTATGCTACTTCCTCTTTCTTCTTCTACCTCGCCAGACTATTTTGTGGCCATGTGAACTGTCACCAGGCCAATCAGATCTTTCGCATTAATGGCATACTGCTCTCCGATGCCGAACTGAATGCTGTGCTGCATCGCTATGGCAACGAGCTGGGCTTCTACTACACCAAATTCCTGGAGGACGTCGATCCGGCCGAGTATGCCATGCCCAACATGGTAGCCAAGCAGGATCAGAAGGAGTGCCCGCCGTTCCCGCGCGACAACAAGGCGCCGGAGCAGGCCAGCGAGGAGGTCATCACGCGCATCCTGACCAGCGCCAAGCGACAGGCTCTGACCAAGGGTGCTTCGGTCTTGGACTTTTTGGTCGACTACGATCGCCATCGCGAGGGACTGATATTGGAGAGCGACTTTAAGCGCGCCCTGGACAATGCCTTGGTCATACTCAGCGAGGAGGACGCCAACATCTTGTGCAATGTGTAAGTAGATTTAGGAATCCCCATAAACACAGCCTTCAATTCAATGTGGTTGCTTTCTGGGGTAGCTTCCGTTCGCCGACTCGCAGTGCCTGCATCATGTATAAGGATTTCTGCAAAGCCCTGGACGAGATCTTTATACAATACGATACGAATATGGGCGACAAGCTGGTCACGGCTGTGCCGCTGTTACATTTGCCAAATCTGGACTGCATCGATTGCTTCCTCAACTTTGATGAGCGCACCACCTGCTCGAAGGCGCTGATGAAGCTCGCCCGACGCCCCGACGAGATCTCCAACCTCAGCCAGGTGTTCAAGGACTTCGATCGCCAGAGCTGCGGCTCGGTCACCCAGAACCAATTCCTGCGCGCCATTACCTTACGTGAAATGCACAACATGCTCAGCAGTCGCGAGTTCGAGGCGATTGTCAAGTGCTTCGCTGTAAAGCGCGGACTCTGCTTGGAGTTCAACTATCGCGAGTTCCTCAAAATCTTGGACGTGCTCTATGCCACTGGCCAGATGAAGCGTAATTATTAACAACAAAATTCCCCGTGTCGCTTTTTGTGAGTGCAAAATTTTCCGTATACGTTTAAGTCCCTTGCGTTCTGCATTCGACATCGAAGTCCCATTTTGAGCATGTTTGTAAATGTGTAAATAAAAATTGCTTTATTTGATGTTTTTTTTTTTTTTTTAATTTTTTTAATTGAAACTTGTTGCTTGAATTTTCCGGTCCATATTGAAATCCCAAGGTAAACATAAATATTTATTCAATTTCAGAATGTACTATAATTATTATTAAGTGTGAAATGAAACTTTTGCTTTGATCGCTTTTTAGCTTGAGGCTGACTCGATTAGCTGCTGCCGTAAGAGCAGCAGCGGATGTAAAAATATCTGAAGTAGAATGCAAATCTGAAAATTCTACTATTGCTAGTTTAGATATATATATATATATATATGTATATATCAATTAACTGCCAATGTGCAGCTGGTTACTGAACACAGTGCTGCCACGCCTTCACCGATTGTGTCCCATTCTACGCTATCTTGGCATATTTTATTTCTTACGGACGTTTGTTTCTTCTTTTCTTTTTTAGCATAACATTTGTTCAATAGGTTTTCATTTTGTTTTTAAATAGCTATAGTTATTTGTATAGAGTTATATGTAGGTATATATAGATATATGCCTATTTAGGTTTAACAAATATACTCGCAGTAGTCTCGTGGAAAAAACTATACATTATGTAGTTCAGTTTGGATTTAATAATAATTCTTATTATTCATCATTATTATAGAGCTTGATGCAAGTTTTAATAGTTGTTTACTTTGTTCTTGTCATGCTGCATTAGATTTGTATTAAAATATAAAATTCTCTTTTAATTTGTATACATATACATTATATATGTATATATGTGTACTTTATAGACTATTAATGAGCGCAAATACATACACAAAAAAAAACGTTTACCATTTATATCGGAAAAATCATTTGTTATTTGTAATTTGGTGGATTTGTTGTTTGTTGTAGTTGAATGCGGACTTGGACAATGCGCGGCGGTTGCCCGCTTTAAAGATCGCCCGCCCGCACCGCTGGCGCGCCAGCTGCCTAGCGTTGCACTATGATAATAATTATTATGTATTACATATTACAATTATTAATTAATTAAGTTTAAACAAATACTTAACGACTATTGTATTTTATATAATGTATTTACTGTTACTATTAAACATGGTTGCCGTATATGATTTCTGAATTCGTATCTCTATGTGTTTCTGTGTGTGAGTGTAGCTTGTTGTATGTGTGTTGCATTTATCTCTGTATCCGTATGTGTGTGTGCATGTGTGTCTGACCCTGCTTACAAGTTAAACAATTACCTCGCATAATGTATGAGACTTCACATAAGAAAAAACAAATTAGTTTGACCCCACACACACACACACACCCACACACTCTCTTCTTACAAACACATACAGCATAAGTGGGTGAGGCATAATGTTATGTGATACAGTGTGGGTTCTCTTGGTGGGCAATGCTGGCTTAACGAGCGTGTGGCTATGAAAAATTAGCCACATGCTGAAAAATTACATCTCTCCAAGCCTAACTCTAAGTTCTCTCTCTTCCTTGCTGCGTGTATATATATATATATATTTAATTATATATAGATGATGCGTTGCTTCCTGGACATGTAATTGCCTTCTGCCTTCTGCTATAGTAGTTTTGGTTGTTGTTCTTGTTGTTGATGTTGTTGTTGGAATGGTGCTACACAACAAAGTGTGTATAGTTGTTGTATTTCTGTTCCTCTGGACTGCAATTTGCCATGGGAATACGGGTTCTGCCCAGCAGTCGCTTTATAGAAGTTTATAGATGCGCATGCGAAAGTGTATGTTGTGTGTTCTTCTCCTTGTTGTTGTTGTAATTGTTGATTTTGTTGTATACTATTAAAATTGAATTACAATTACAATGACAATTGAATCTTAACAAATATCTCCATCATCCTTACCATAACAAACTAAACTAAGTAAAATTCAAATAGTTTTGCAGTTATAAGTAGATGTCGGGCTCCAAATGCCGCCCGATTAGTAGGGCTGGTGTCGTGGCTGGCGTCCAGTGCCGCGCTGCTTGCCACCGTTGAAGCCACCGCCTCCGCCTGTTTCAGAAAATTGAATACAAAATGATTAGAGATACGTTTGGCGATTGGATTCAGTAATGATTGTTGTATAATTGGCATGCACAGCTGCTGCTGGGGAAAATTTGTTGTTCACTTTGTTTTCGGTTTAAGGATTTACTACAACGCCAAAGCGATTCAAGCGACTGATGAAAATTTTGACCAAATCTAAGGATAAACAATGACTAGTAACAGAATTTTGGACTCCAAATGGAGGATGATCGAAATAAAAGACAAGGAAATATTAGTAAAAGTACCAAAAAGAAATATAACAAATGCTCAGTTATAAATAGTTACTAGAGGCAGGGATAATAGTTCTTACGTGAAAAAAGATAACAAATGGGATGGGAGATAACCAAGTTTAATTTTGTTGGGGTTGATTTTTTTTTTATTTTTTTATTTTTTTTTTTTTGCAATTTTTATTTTTTTATTTTTACGGCCATGTGTTGTGGCATACCTTTGGGACCGCCACGCGGACCTCCGGCACCGCGCCCGCCAGCGCCGCCGCCGCTCCCGTAGCCATTACCGCCAAAGCCACCATCAAAGCCGCCGCCATAACCGTAGTCTTTGTTTATAGATCAGAGTTTGGATACATTTTTTTTTTAAGGGGTTTAAACACAAAAATTTTTTGTTGATCATGAGCACAAACAAAGCTTATACTTAAAAGAAATTGTATGTAATATCTATTTTCTACAAATGGGTTTTTGCTTGGTTTTGGTCAAAATTTCTTTAAGAATTTGTGGGCAGAGAATGGGAATGATTCTAGGTGTACGTGTAGGTGTGGAGTTGGGTTCGGGTTTGGGGGGAGATTTTGGGGTACGTTGTTGGAGGCGACACCGCGCCGAGGCGAGACAATTCAAATGCACACCACAGAGAGCTGGAAAAGGAATTCCACTGAAAACACACAATTTTTTAGTTTTTTTCTTTTATTTGCTCATTTCTCGATTTGCGGATTTTGATTATAAGATTGATTGGCTGTTAAATGATTGCTACTGTAGATCAATAATGTATTAATTATGATCTAATCTGGTTGATCTTGCTGTTGCGACTGCGGCTGCTGTTGCGGCTGCTGCTCTTCCTGCTGCTGATGTTGTTGCTGTTTGTTGTCGTTGTTGGTGTTGTTGTTTACTTTTGCACAGGCATTACAAAAAATGTTTCAGTTTAAAAACACATTTATGTCTCGTTGTTGTTGTTGTTGTTGTTCATCTCCTTCTATCTAGTTATTTCCCTCATTTGAGTGTGGGGAAACAAAAATCAGGCGCAACACGGCGCTCACACATACATGCGCGGAACGATTTTGTTGTTGTTGGTGTTGTTGTTGTTATTTCAGATGTTATATCTCTTAATTTGCTGCTGTCTCTGGGTATATGTTGTTAGTTAGTTGTTCACTCTTGACTTATAAACATGTTTCACAATGTATTGCAATTCATTTCTCAATTTGTTTCTCATTTTGACGCACTCTTTATGCATTTTATGTTCTAATTTTCTTTTTTACCTCATTTTCCACACAACAATTTCAGCATTTCAATTTTAGATTTTACTTTTCGTTAAAAAATTTCCGAAAATTTGGTTTTGTTTTTTGACAAAAAATTTCATTTGAATAGCCAAAAAATTAAACTAAATAAATCTGCTGCTCTTGTGTGTGTGTTTGAATGTCTCACCTCAGCAAAAAGTAATCAAATATTTATATTCTTATAATCATTTTTTCTTAATTTGTTTTTTTTTTTTTTTTTTCTTTGTAGTTTTTCAAAGGGTATTTGGGACTCGGGTTCGGGAGCGGGTGGAAGTTCGTGTGGGACTTGTCGCAAAATTTTAGTATTGTAAAAACGTCTTGCGAAAAACAAAAACAAATGCAAATTGTCAGCAAATTTGACTTGATACGAGTTAATATTGGTATTGTTATCATTTACTCTTAGTGTTGTAATTTATGTTGTTAAAAACAAGAAAACTGTTTATATATTGATAAAAAAAATTTGCTTCAGAAAATATCTTTCCAAGTATTGTTAAAATTACTTTAAATGTATACATTATTATTATTTTTCTTTTTTTTAGATTTTTCAATTCATTGACTAAAAACAGGTATTAATTACGCTAAATTACTTGTAAATATATAACCTTTAAATTTAATAAAAAGGAGTAAATAAGAAAAAATATACGTTACATTTAAGCGAAATGAAATAATTGTTGTTTTGTGTAGTCGTTGTTTTCTTTGGCTGTTGGTTGCAGGTTGTTTGCTGTTTTAGTCTGTATCTCATTTCGTGATTTTTCTTGGATATTGCTTTCTGAGTCGATCAGACGCACAGACAGACAAAACACCAGAGACCCGTTAACCAATAACCATTTACCGTTAACCGGCAACTGTTAGGAAAATTTTATGGAAAATTGGTCAAGACCGTTTTTGGATATTTGTTTGGTAGTGGTGGTATAGAGTAGTCGGTTGTTGTATGTTTTGAATTTAACTCTCATTTTAAGTGATTTTTTTTTTTTTTTTTTGTAGTATTTTTGTGAGGCGAAACATCGGAAAATTCGGCATTACAATAGATATATTGTAAAATGTAAATATATAACACGTTAAGTTCAAAAATGATAATTAAAAAAGTAACAATATTTAGAGTTAATAAAAATAGTACAATTGGGTTTTTCTCTAACATTAAAACTGTAAAAATTGCCGTTTGGGGCCCATAACGAGTTTGTAACTGGCGCAATGTTAACATTAGTTTCGTATATTAACAGCTGATGTTATGTTAACAGCGCTCGCCCTCTGTTATGGCTCCCATTGGCAGATGCTATATTTGTTGTTGTTGTTGGTCATAGGTTAGTTGAGAAATTATAAAAAGAAAATTATGTATATATTGTAGTTATAGTTTGAATATAAAGTGGGCACATAATTATTGCTATAAAATATACAAAAAGTATTTTGTTTGTATAAAAAAAGAACTTGTTGCACAGTAAAACATTGTTATATGATTACGAATCAGCATAATTGGTATATAAAATATAGCATAAATATAAATTTGTAATATAAATGGTGGTATTATAATAATCATATATGTATTTTATTTTTTTTTTTTTTTTTGTAAATTTTTAATTTTGTTGTTTTTTTTTCTTATATTTTTTTTTTTTTTTTTAGAATATTTTTTCTTTGTATAGACAACTAGCTAAAAACATTGAGAAACATGCAAATTTTAAAATAATTTACTCAAGTTTATGCATATCTTATTATTTTTTGTTTAGCAAAATATATATACATACATAAAAATATGTATATATGTATTGTGATACGTCAAATTGAATGGTTTATATTGACAATAATTTTTAAAAGGTGATTGGTCTGAATTCCACATTCAAAATTTAACATAAGAGATATATGCAAATATTTATGTATGTGTGTGTGTGTGTGTTTGTGTATATGTATGTATGTTTATAATTGTGAGTTATTGTACTTAATACTTTAAAAAAAAAGAACAATAAGAAATATTAATATTTATCTAAATTTATTAATTAAAATTACTAAAATTGACGAAGTGTGTTGGTTTTTCTTTACTGTTTTGTATTTATACATTTTCATTGATTTAGTTGTTTTTAACTGATGTTGTTGTTGTTGGTATAGTTTGTGTTTGTCAAAGTTGTTGCCGCTCTAGTTGTTGTTGTTGTTAGTTAGTTAGTTAGTTATCAACAAATGTCGCATTGTGCGCGCGCACGTTACATTTCAAATCAAAGTGAATGAATGTCATGCGTTTGTTTCGTTTCATCCGTTGTTTACAATGTTTCTCACATTGTAATTTTGCTAAATTTGTCTCTTATTCTTGGACTCTTGTTTGATCTCTTCTTGTCAGCAAAATGCATGTTTGTTTGTTTGGTCAAGAAAGCAAAAAGCAGAAATGCAAATAAAAGAATGATTGGCCAAGCAACATATTAAAGGACGAGGCCGAAGTCGACGTGGGAATCGACTTAAGCAATCGATTTATAATCAATTGCTCAAGCCAACTTCAACTTCAAGCGTGGTCCTAAAAGTTGGTTGACGTCACGTTGCTTTTGCGTGTTTGTTGTTGGTATTTGTTGTTGTTTGTTGTTTTTACAAGGATTTGCCTTAAAATAATACTATCAAAAATAGTACTCATTTGTAAAAATGTGATCATTATGCATAAATATACATACAACATTTGTATATTTTTTTTTATACATATATACACATACATATATCAACATTTCTATATGTATATATATATATATATATATATGTACACATATATAGTGTATTGACGTTCGCATACGAAAACATATGCATTGCAAAAACGTAGATATTATCTCGTTGCCGAAATAATAATAATATACATCTAAAAATATATTTATATGCTATATATAGGTATATATATATTTTAAATAGAAGTTGAATCAAAGCTTTGATTACACGTTTCGTTTGTTGGTTATGTGTGTTGGTTTGCTTGTTTGTTGCTTTTCTTCTTTTCGTTTGTTTAGCGTTTTGTTCAACAAAACAAAATGGAAAAACTATTTAAATAACTATTATAAAGATAACGGGGATAATGGAGTAATGTGATCATCACATTTAAATATATACATATATAAATATGAATGATTGAATGTGTTTGTGTGAGTGTGGGCGTGTGTGTTTGTGAGGGTATAAGGTGTGTGGATGTGGGTGCGGGTGTGTGTGATACCTATATTGAGTGTGTCAACAGCTTTTGGTTTCAGTTTGTTCAAACAATAACAGTTAGTTAACAATAATAAAAGGCACAAGTTGCAATTATGCAAAAGGCCAAAACGCTGGCGATTTACACTGTTTCACATAATTGGCACATGATCTTGTTTATGTGTTTGTTTGTTTGTTTGTCATTTAAGGTTTTTATCTGATTGTTGCTGTCTTCATTTCTAAATGTTGTTGTTGTTGCTGCTGCCTTCGCGTTTGAGGTATTTGTCATCTTTGGAAAGTCTGTTGAAAGCGACCTCTGGCGGCCGCACACATTGTTGTTTGTTGTTCTTAATTTTGTTTGTTGTTCCTGTTGGTCTGGTCTGGTATACAATAATTATGAAATGTGTAGGCGATGAGCGCTCCCGTCTACTTTTTCTTTTTCTTTATCTCTATCTCTATCTCTCACTCGCGCTCTCTCTTTCTGTCTACGCTACTCTAACCTTCGTTTTTGCTTCTTAAACAACACAATCATTAATACACACGCTTCGTCAGTTTTATATAATATTTAAATGCTAAACCACTAATAAATCATATTTTATTTTAAAATTTCTTGAAAAATAGATAGCTCTTTTCAATGAATTCTTGTTTTAGAATTATGCTTTAAGACTTTTAAAAATTTAAATATGCATTTTTGTTGAATAGATTTTAAAAATAATTATGGTAGTATAAACTCATATATAAAATTATTGATTTGAATGTATATAAAATTATGTTTATCAACATATAATTGCAATTTTAAAAATGATTTTAAAATTTATATTTAGGCATTAAAAATATATTGTATATTTTTTTTATTATTTATATATTTGTAGTTAAAAAGTTTTCTTGTTTTTAGCGACGTTGTTTTGTTGTTGGATGTTCTTGTGTTTCTAAGTTCTTATTTAGAAATGCAGCAAAACGTGTTTGTTTTTGTTTTTCTCTCCGTTTTGTGTCTTGTCTCTTTTGCTAACGGCAAACAACAATGTATAAATATATATATAATTTTCTTTTGTGTATGATAGAAGGGAAATTTGTTTTCAAAATGTTGTATAATGGCATTTTTTGTTTATTGTTGTAGTTGTTGTTTGTTGGATTTTGTTTTTGTTTTTGCTTTCATTTGCATTGTTTGTTGCCTGCATTTGGCTATATTAAAACTGCTGATAGTTGTTGCTATTGTTCTTGTTTTGATGATAGTTACTTGACGTTGGGTTATTGTAATAATTGTTATGAGTATTATTATGTTGTTTGTTGTATTTACCATAACCATAGTCATATCCATTATAGTAGCCACCGGCATAGTAATCGGCAAAGCCACCGGAACCATAACCGCCATAGCCGCCATAGCCCGAATACGAACCCTGGCCATCCCATTGATGGGAATAACCTACATTAATTATGAAAATTAGAAGAATCGTTGTAAATCTCAAACAGTGTAAAATTAATATATAATACTGACCACCACGTCCGTATCCGCCTCGTCCACCTCGCATACCGCCTCGCGCTCCACCACGCATGGCCATCATTTGATTCTCAGGTTTTGGTGTTGCGCGCTTCACATCAACTTCTTTGCCAGAGATCTTCTGTTTGGGCGTTTTCAGCAGATCGGTAACCACCTGCTCTGAATCGAAGGTAATGAAACAGAAGCCCTTACGGTGTGACTTTTGCTTGTCGAATGGCATCTCCACCTCAACAATCTGTGAGAACAACGTAAAGCGTCAATAAATTTTGCTCTACATAATTAAATTAATAAACAGACATACATTGCCAAACTGACTGAAGTAGGTTTTGATTTCCTCATCGCTAATCTCTGTTGTCAGGCCACCGACAAAGATCTTGCCATGGCGGGCCTTCGCCTTTTTGGGATCCACCTTCTTGCTGTTGATGATGTGCTCCTCAGCGGCGCTGACCTGATCAATTGCCTCTGTGTTTGTGAACACAATGAAGGCGAAACCGCGTGACCTGCCCGTCTGAGGATCTGTCTTTACATTGATGCTCTCGATCTCACCGAACTTGCCGAAGTGATCGCGCAATTCCTCTGCAAAACGAAAGGGAGATTTATATTAATTAATTGCCAAGAATATGAAAGATATATATACTTACTCTCAGTCGTTTCCCAACTGAGTCCACCAACAAATAGTTTCCTACGAAAGTTGACGGAAAAGGTATTGATTAGTTCAATTATTAAAAATATAACCGTTAACAAAATTATATTCATAATTGCTACACAGAAAACTCTGGTTTTATAAAGTTGGAAAAAAATGGCACGACAAAAACGATTTATTCTTTTTTATGAGTGTGGAAAATTTGTGTTTGCACATATCAGAAAATATTTTGAATTTCTTTTCTGCCCGCGCATTTGGCGCTTACAAAAACGTTACTTTACATTTTGTCTTACGATTTTCTTTTGTTAATAGCTGCAAATATAAATTAGAGTCGGAGCAAGAGAAAAGACGAAAATAAAAAAATAAAGAAAGTAAACTCACCAAATTCAAAGTGAATATAGAGCTTATAATTACTGTACTTTATTTAGTTAAACTTTCAATCAAGGTTCGAAAATGTGCATCGAAAAACTGAGCGAAAGATACGGCGAGGGAGTAGAGTCACAAAACGGGCGAATAATACGTGAATATATATAAATATATGCAGAGTGAATTTTTAGCTTTAGAATAAAAAAATCGATTTTTTTTCTGGTTTTTTAATACATTAAAATTTTTTTTGTTTATTTCTAAATATGAGAAAATGCAAGGATTTTTATGCTGATTTTAAATTTATGCAATTGCTTTATTTGAACTAAATTTAAGAAAAAAATTTGTTATTGATACACTTAAAATATTCTTGGCGTACGTTACTCATAAAGATTATGAAATATCACTGCGGGGGAATGCAATTTGGAACAATCTCATCACGGCGGCGGAATTTAGAGTGTGGAAAAGTTAGACGGTAACCGCGTGTAGGCATTATATGAAACGTTTTTAGACTCGTTATCGGTTGCGATTCGGTATATATGGGGTCGTTATCGTTATCGTTATCATTATCAATATCGTTACGTTACGTTCATCAGATGCGCTTCTTTAAGTAGGCAAAAACAAACAAAAAAGGCGAGTCTCTCTCTCTTTCTCTCTGTCTTTCTTTCTCTTTAATTTTTGGTAAACAATAAAATGCATTATACTTTGTATATAGAGATATATAATATATTATTTAGGATCCAATTGAGAACTCGAGATAATTTGTTGATAATTTTGTGTGTACAAAGTTTTGGTTTTTTTTTTTTTTTTTGAATTATTTTGGTTAGATAAATACCATCAACAGCATTGCCGGCATCCGTTTCACACGCTGCATCCTTTGGGTAAATTCCTTTGGGCCACGGCTGCTTGAGAATAGCTTAACATGGCTTTTAACTTCTCTCAAGACCTGCCGGAGAGGAACAAGGTTAGTTCGCTCAAACACAACAGGATAAGCTATGAATTTGTTTTTGGATTTTTTTTTTGTATTGTTTATTATTGATTATCGCACACGATATGGCTCCATCTGCTTTATGCTGCTTCCATTTAATAATGTTTTTCCATTGTTTATTTCTTTACTGTACAACTGGTGGACTGTGACTTAAAGTTAACTTAACAATTAATAAATATGCAATTAAATGACATATAGTTAAAACTCGACCTAAATCAATTGAACTAAATAAAAAGTAGAAAAGTATTCAATAATCAACCTTCAACATTATTATTAAACATCTATGGATTTCGCATGTTTATTAACAAAAACAAATACATATGTATCTAAGCGAACAATAAATAAAATTAAAAAAAAAGGAAAAACAAGGTACAATATTGAAGTAGTATTTGAATTGCCTCGACAACACTGCCGGCATAGTGATGGCCTCAGCAACAGCAGAGCGCGAAGCCGGCAAGCAAAACGGAATGAATGTTGAGAAAACGAAAGAAACTGCATACATACATACATACGCACGGAGCGAGCTCGCGCTGCGTAGCAAACACAAAAACCGCCATTTTGGGTACAAAACTGGAAGAGCACGAAAACAAACGAACGAAAAATATCACAAAATATTGCAAAAAAAAAAAGTATGTATGTACGAATACAAACAAAGCTTCATACAAGTGAAAGGCAGGCAGTTGTGGGGCAAACGTGGGGCTTCAAGGAGGGAATAGCACACGCTTTGCGTCTTTCGCTGTATGAATACACTCACACATATACACATACACATACATGGATACATCTGTATATGTACCTAGGTGTGTATGAATATGTGTCTGATCAACATAACCTCACAACTGCGGGAAATGTGCTTCAATTGTCTTTGTTGAGACTGGAATTTTTGTGCTTTTGTTTCAATTGCAAATACAATTATAAGTATCGATATGGTATACACACATAGTTCCGAATACATTCATATGTACATACATACACAGTAATGTAAATATAGCAATAATAAATAAAACGTAATTTATAATGAAATACGACGCATCATACATTCAGATCTGTCAAATTAATATCTTGCTAGAAACAGGCAATCAAAAATTTTCCGACAGCTTCTATTATTATAACTATGTATGTTTAGTTGGACGACGGGCTATTGTGCACGAAGTACAGTCGCACACAGACACGCGCGCAAATACTGAAGGGGTCAGCGTCAGCGGCGCGCTAACTCCCGCCGCTGCCGCCGCTACGTCAAACACCATTTTTTTACACTCGACGACGACGACGATAACTTTGCATTTACGTAACAACAAAGAGTAGGTGGTAATAAAAAAAAAAACAGTATTTAGGCACATGATTTTTATGCACTTGAGGCTGTCAGGCTACCGACCGAATTGAATGTCTAATATTTTACTTAAAATACCTGTCGTCATCACGCTGGTTACTCGCAGGGGCTGTATTTTCAGAACTGCCATTTGCAGCACCGGCAGCGGGAGTCGATTCACCATTTTCAGGGCTCGCCACATCATTGGTGGTAACATCCTTGGTGAAATCTTCGCCGTTCATTTCGCTATCGACTTGTTTGTCTGCCATTTTAATTGGTGGTGTATATGTGTATTCTATTGTCAATTAAAACTTAATTAAATAGCACTATTTAGCGATTTTCAGCAATCTTTTTCTTAGCACACTCGCCAAAACTCGCGCGAACGCTGACGACCGGAAAATGACAAATCCAGAGACAGCGTGTGTATATGGTAGAGGCGTTGCCAGCAAGTTGAACGAATTGGTAGTCCGAAATTAAATATATTTTTGCAATCATTTTATTCTTCCCTTTTTAATACCAATTAACCATAAGTAATAAAACACAATTATATTAAGTAATTCTTTTTAATTTTACTAGCAGTAAAATAAATGAAATATCGAGTATTTGTAAAAAAAAATATAAGCAGTCTGGCAACGCTATATGGCACGAATTAGTGAAAGAATATATAATACTCCAGATTTGCTTTCCATTGTCAATTAGTACAAAAATACATGTTTTTAATTTTATTTTAATTAGAGGACTAAATTTTGTATTAAAATTAAAAATATAAATTTTTTTTGTTTAGTATCTTTTGAATGCTTGGTTATGTTCCATTCGCAATTTGCGGTCACACTGAGACACACGACATCGCCGCCATCATAAAAGCGCACATACACAAACGCAAATGCACCGAGAATAAAACTGAAAAAGGGGAACGAATAAACGTCGGTTCTCTTCTTGATTCAACACTTGTTAAATTTCATTGCGTTTGCGATTCTTTTTTACATAAATTAAACAAAAACAACGCATTCAAACTTAATATTTTAACTGTGATTGCCAACAACTAAAGTAACAAGCAAGTAATGTGCGAAAAGAATTGCCAAATTTGTAATTTTTGAACAAAAAATTGCAACAAAGCAGACGACGGCAAAGGAAGAAGCAGAATAAAGCGGCTGCTCCAAACCAACAAGCTTCGCGTGTGAGTGTGTATGTTTTGCGTGTGCCTGTGTATCTTCACATCAATAATAAATAACAGTATAAACTAAATTTTCATATATAGATACATATATATATATATATATATATATATATATATTTCAGCATTTCTCAAATTAGGCCGCATACAAACTCCACACACCACAAGCATAAAATAAAAAATAAAACAAACAAAAAAATCCTGTGCGACGGAGTATAACAGCGAAAAGGAAAACTAAGACCTCATAAAACACATAAGCAATAATATTGTGCATTAGAAACAGACATCGAGCAACTGCTACCAAGGTGAGTACCAACTGCCGGCGTTCGCCACATGCTGCCGCCGCACATTTATGTAGTTAGGCGTAGGAAAAAAGAAATGTATCAATTCCAGTTGGGGTGGCAAATATTAAATGAATCGACTGACTGACTTACAAAGCATATATATACGACAAATAGAAAGACTCATGTTTCTTTGCTGCCGGTAAACGTATTAATTTTCGCTTTAGCGGCATTTTTTTTAATCGTTTCTGCTTGTCGAGTCATAACCTAAAAGTGGCAGCGCTCATTGGTTTTTGTAAGTTTGTTTAAATATTGCTCTTTTTTTTTATTGCTTTCTTTGTTCGGACTCACACACGCGGTTTACGCATACAGTTTAACGCACTTTTGGCGGTGCTTTTTTTCGTATGTGTGTATGTGTGCGTGTATTCGCGTTCTGTCTGCTGGTCATTTTTTGTGAGAGTTATTGTTATCAATTTTGTTAGAATTAAAATCAAGCTGCAAGGTGCTGCTTACTTCACACCTGCATACAGTCTTTTTATTAATCTATTATTATTTTTTTCTATTGCGTTTGGCCTTTGTTGCGAAATCGCAGCTGGCCGTTTAGGTAGGTAGGTAGGGAGTTTTTGGCTTCAATTCTAGAGTTCAATGAAACAACCAGCTACCTGAGCAAAAACGCAGCAGACTCGCGCACGTGCACGAACATGTTCAACAAAAATGTCCTATCCTCTGCTGCGACACAACCTTGAAGCGCAAACATAACCTAAAACTAGTTTACTCAGCTCACGTTCCCATTGCTGCGCCTCTGGTAACGTTGTTGTTGTTTGTTGTGTCTGTATGAGGTCATTTACTTTAAAAATAATTCAATGTTGTCCTTAAATTTTTTTTTACAAGAAATGAGAGAATATGAAATGCTCTGTTGAGCATGAATCGCAATAATAACAAAAATAATGACAGAGACAGTGACAGCTGCATTTGGTCTTGTTTTGGAGTATGCACGAAATTTCCCCATTTATGCATTTTCGGTAGGCCGTCTAACCGTGTATAGGTGCATGCGTGCATGTGTGTGTGAGTTAGTGCTGGGAACGAAAGTGGGTCAAACTGCAACTGCATTGAATCTTTTTGTCTGCGCTGCAGTAAAATTTTTGGGCTCCTTTTACGTTTTTGTGTGCTCGAATATCCATTAACTGTATTGTATATGTCACAATCAATCAGTGTTGCCGATCTTCCGTCACTACATTTACTGTTATTGCAAGTATACCCACACGAAGATTGTGAATGTCACCAAAAAGGAATTAAAATTGGACTGAATAATAAATACATTTACATTCCTGTAAGATTTATATGTACTTCGTTCAGCAACTAAGTAGACTTTGAGTTACAAATAATTCTCGACAGGTTAATAATTTTTTTTATAAATACATAAATGTATTTATATATTAAATATATATAAATATATTTATATTTATATATATAAATTGTTTTACAGACTAAATCAAATTCAACTCGGCAATTCTTCATCTCACTCTTACCGGGACTAAACTTTGCCGCTTAGCCAAACGCTTGGAACTCTAGCAATGGTCATGGATGCGACTCAATCGCAACAGCCTTCGCCGCAATCGGTGGGACGCGAATTCGTGCGTCAGTATTACACGCTGTTGAACAAGGCGCCCAATCATTTGCATCGCTTTTACAACAATAACTCGTCTTTTATTCACGGTGAATCGACATTGGTTGTGGGCCAGCGCGAGATACACAATCGCATACAGCAATTGAATTTCAACGATTGTCATGCCAAGATCAGTCAGGTGGATGCCCAGGCCACACTCGGCAACGGCGTTGTCGTCCAGGTCACTGGCGAGCTGTCCAACGATGGCCAGCCGATGCGTCGCTTCACCCAGACATTTGTCCTTGCAGCCCAATCGCCGAAGAAGTACTATGTGCACAATGACATCTTTCGCTACCAGGATCTGTACATCGAGGATGAGCCGGATGGCGAATCGCGTTCCGAAAACGACGAGGATCATGACGTTCAGGGCCAAGGGGTTGACCAGGCCGTCCAGGTTGTAGGCGAGGCCGCTCAACAGCCACAGCAGCTGTCCACTCAAGTGGTATTGCCACAGCCGGTCGTTCCCGTTGCTGCCGCTGGCGGAGCTGCTGGAGCGCCGCAGCAATTGTTTTATCCACTGCCAGCGGGCGCTGCTACTGGACGACCTGTGGCCGTTTTGCCAGCTGCACCCCAAGCTGCAGCGGTGCCATTGCCCGCGCAGTTCACGAACCCGCCGCCGCCAATCCAGAATGGAGTTGTGCCACATGACGAGTTGCCACAGCAGCAAGGACCACCACAGGCCTTGGTTCAGGCCAATGTCTCGCCTTTGGTGCAGCAGCAGCCGAGTGGACCCGTGATGCCGTCCAATGTGGGTATTGTGCAACCAGTGCCAGTGCAACCAGCTGCAGCCTTCCAGCATTCGCCGCTTGTCTCAGCACCACCTCAGCTAATACCCCAGCAGCATCAGACCCAGCAGCAGCAGCAGCAGCAACCACCGCAGACTCTGCAGCAGCCGTTAGAGCCAGAGGAGCCAATCAACAATGACGCCAAGGTGAGCCACTTGCAGAGGGCAACTACTCCAGTGGAGGACTTCAAGACCATTCATGAACAGCAGCAGCAGGAGAAGTACGAAGCCGCCAAGCAGCAGCAGAACGAGCCCAAGACTTATGCCAATCTGTTCAAGTCCACTTCTTCGTCACCCAGTGGCTTCGTGAATGCGGCACTGCAGCAACAACAACAGTTGCAGCAACAGCAGCAGCAACAGACTCAGAGCACTGTCTACACAACGTCTTCGTCTGGCGGCGGCAGTGGCGGCCAGGCCAGCTACTCAACAACCGCATCTTCCTCTTACAACAACACCAACAACAATTCTCGCTTAGACAACGGCGGTCCACTGCCACAGCGCAACAATTTGATTAGAAACAAGGGTAAGTCACACTACAAAGAAATGAAAAACATTTGCTTACATTGTTTTCTTATCCTCTACAGAATTTGAGCAACGTCGTCCGAGCAACGCACAACAGTTTGGCGATAATCAGCAGCTCTTTTTGGGCAATATTCCACACCATGCCTCCGAAGAGGAGCTGCGTCAGCTCTTCTCGCGCTTTGGCAATGTTATTGATTTGCGTATTCTATCGAAGGTCGGCAAGATGATGCCGGGCACGCGCAGTCCACTAAACTATGGATTTATCACCTACGATGATTCCGAGGCGGTACAAAAGTGCCTGGCCAATTGCGTATGTAGCTAGAGAATTGCATAGAGCCTGGTGATATCTCTAATCGTCTCTTACTTACATTTGCAGCCCCTGTACTTCCCGGAAAACTCGCCCGATGGCCAGAAACTGAACGTGGAGGAGAAGAAACCACGCATGCGCAATGACATGCCACCCCGTCAACCGATTGGCGGCAACAATGTGAATAATATGGGTCGCAACAATATGCGTGCCGGTGGCGGCAACAACGGACCACGCATGGGCGGCAATAATGGTGCTAGCTTTGGACAGCGCAATGACAATCGCAGCGGCGGTGGCAATCAGTCCAACGGACCGCTGCGCGGTGCCGGCAATGGACAAACCGGTAGCGGCGGTAGCGGCAATTATGGACGCCGTTAAAATGCAGAGTAGAATCTGCACTAGTTGGCCACAGGCAGTCGATGGCCGACACATCAAAACTATACCAACAACAACAGCAACAACAACAACCCAACGTCAGCATCGATTTCTTCCATAATGCAAACAATCAATTACCATCATCGACTCACACATACACACACATAATCACACTCACACACATACACATGCGCACACATTGATATCCACCACACATCCACGCACACTCAGCAGTAGCAGTATCAGCAGCAGCAAGAACAGCAGACAACGCAAAGGATAAAATATATTAACGAATTGTCTTCATGTTAAACGCGCTCCCTCGAGCGTTAATAGCTATAACGATAGCAACCATTGGAGGAGGCGTCGTGCTGCAATCAATTTATTTATGCAATTGGATCGTCCTTTAATTAAGCTTGCTTTTATGCAATTTGTTTTCCCTTCCTCTCTTCTCCTTTTCATTAGCCAGCTCGTGCCAAAAAGTAAAATTCTGTGCAAATTTTTGTTGTAAACCTAATTCTAAAAACCAAACATACTGCAGCACGACCTCCCTAAAGATTAAAAACTACGCAAAAAAAAAGGAAATATATATATATAATAAAAAGGTCGCGCCAACATGTCTATTATAAGTAAACCCACCACAAATACATGCATACATCTGCACTCGCCTACACACACATACACTCACACCCCCACACTGACACACTCACCCATATGAACAACTAACTCACACACTCACACAGTGTCACAGAACTTAGTGTAAATGTAAACTTTAATTTTCAAATATCATTTAAATTCGTAATTTTCAAAATTTTAACTATAAGTTAACAAGAGAAATGCTATAAAAATAGAAAGGAAATGCAAAAGCGCATGTTTTTGTTTGTTTTGATTTTATTACAAATTACTTAAGCACTTAATGAATTAAATTAATTTAAATGCGAATCATTACAATTAAAAACTAAAAAACAAAAAAGATAAAACTTAGCTAAAAAACCAACTAAAAACAAACAAAAAAAGCAAAATACGTTTTAAAAAATGTAATAAAAAAAGCAAAATAAAGACTTAAAAACATTATATAAAACAAAACAAAAAAAAACAAACAAAAAAAACAGAAACAGAAGAAATTATGAAAAAGCGATTCGGAAAACCACTCAACTAAAAATTATATGTAGCGGAAGACCTCAACAACAAGAAACACTCAGACTTAAGTTCATATAAAGAAACGTAGCACCGTGAATGTCGCCGCATTTTCACGCCTCTCCTCTCCCATACACACACATACATATGCCTACACAGTTTTCAGTTTATTTGCCAGCATGTAAAACCTAGCTAGTCTCTATATAAAAAATAATGGAACGAGGAAATTGTTGAAAACTTGAACGCTGAAAATGCGGTGCCGTCACGTGCATAATCGGCGGTTAGCGCCGGGTCTTTCACATGAATTGCAAGTTCGTAAACCAAACTAAGTCAAGTAACTTAAACGATTTGGTGTTTTCCAACACAGTTGTGAACTATAAAGTTTAGTACATATTTTTTAAATAAAATCTATTAAAAGTAAAAAAAAAAAAAAATTAAAATAAAAAACTCAAGCTACTAAAAATTTTTCTCAAGGCAAAGCAAGCATATATCTAACAAGAGATGATAAATATATATACATTTATATACGGACGAAAATTTATTTTTAATTATAATGCTAACTTTTAGACCTTCTAAACAAACAATGAAACATGCCTGCAGCATCAGAAACTGAAAATTACTTTCATAATTCGCATATATAAACACAATTCATATATATGTAATTATTTAAAACATTGATTTGTGTACGCAAATTTTCAATATATATGTTTAAATTGTTTACCAACTCGATTAGTAAATTTATATTTTTGTTTAGCTTTCAACATATCATTTGCGCCGTTAACTGCGCTCTAACTAAATCATAGATTATTTTTTCTGGTTTATGTTTATTATTATGTTTTTTTTTTAGTGTACCAGAAAGTAACGTTGGCACTGTTATCGGGGCTTAAAGCAATTTATAGAACATTTTTAAATTAAATAAAATGTTAGTGTTCAAACCTTAGCTCAAAAACAGTGTTAAAAGTGCTTGCAAAATAACGGAGGAAAAAATGAAAGAAGAAAAAAATGCAAATAAATTAAATATACAAAACGATATATATGCAAATATCGTTCATGCTCATTTCTAAGTAATACAACTATGAAAAAAATATAAACAGTTTGTAAAAATAAAACACAAGAATAAATCTAATTTAATTTATAGGTATACAATTACGAATAGTTGTAAATCAAAAGTAAAATCGAAAAATTGGGTATGCTTACCAGAAGTCTTTGAAAACTGATTTTCATAATTGAACTTTGTAATCTATAACCGTATTAAGAAGTCCTAGATGAAACGCAATACTAGGGAATCGCCATCGAAATATAAAGCATAAAAATCACAAAAATTATTTATTATTATTAATAATAATAATATTTATAATATATTTATGAGTTAAGCAAAGTTTTCTGGTCAGCTTGCCCACTAGTTCCAAATAATCAATAAAAACGTACTCAAAACACCAAGAAAAATTAAAGAAAAGAAAAAAAAAAAAGAGAAATATGTTTTCTGCAGCAAATAAAACCCATTTATTTTTTAACAAAAACAAAAAGATATTTGTATTTTAGTTAAATATTTATTTTTGAAATTTATTTATGTTGAAAACCGCATGAAGTTGGCATTTAAACTGAAATTGATGCGCACAAAAGCAAACTTTGTTTGCATAATTTTAATAATACAAAAAATATATATAATTAAATTTAAAAACCACTCATGAAACCATTAAAAAAAGAAAAAAACAATCACAGAAATTCATTGAAATCTACAAATACAATTCAGTGGTGCGTTTTTTACCTGTTTCGGGTCTAAAACATTACACGTTAAAAAATTAATTAATAAAATTATGTTTGAAATAAAGAGAGAAAGCAAAAAAGAAAAAACTAAACAAATAGAACTTTGCGATGAAAAGTCTACGAAAAGTGTAAACGTTTTTATTTATCAGATGGACATGTCAAGTGTGTTTGTTTATCTATCAATGTAAATTGGAAACACATTTTCACATTTCACATTTTCAACAATAATGATAGTCGTATTGCAGTGTTAGTTACAGTATGTATACATATATATTTTTTTATAGATGCGTGTGCGGTCGGTATTCGTAATGGGCACTATTATGCATGGTATAGGTTACGTATTTGACATACATTTAGTAAATAGATCAAGTTGAATTGCATACACATGTATATAAATATATATAAATATATATATATATATATATATATATATATATATATATATACATACATATATAGAGAGATAGTGACTGATACATATATGACTAATGTGATTTCTTTTGAAAAGCAGACTTCTTAAATGCCTAAAAGCAAACGAAATTTAATAGAATAATTACGACTATTATTGTTAAGTTTGTAGATTCGCATACCATAGGCAGGTGTTGAAATATCGGTAGGCCCGGAACTCATGTGGTTGGTCTGGGGAGTACCAAAGTTGTATCTGCCCGTTGGTTTGAAGACCTTGTAGTCCTTGGCTAGCCATTTCTTCTCGACATCGACAGGGGTTTGAGTCTCGTTGGCATTGGTATCGCCAGCGGGTGTCTGCTTCTTGGTAGCCTCTTCAGCTTGAACGGACTTGTACTCATTCTTCGGACGTTCAGCTGGTAGAGTCTGAACTGAAACGGGCTTTTGGCCACCTTTCGGTGGCCACACAATCGAGCTGTAGCTGTTTCTGGACCACTCCGAGTTAACGCACGGCGGATTGCCGTAGGCCCACCCGCCCTGCGAGTAGCCATGCAACTGTTGTTGATGGTGCGGATAGCTAACGGTTGTTGTCGGAATTGTAGGTGCCACATACGAAGCCCAACCGTTAAAGAATGCAGACGGCGGCAATGAAGTTTGTGCCTGATACGGATTATAATTTGGATTATAGACTAAGTTGTCCATGATGGTCGGCTGTGGTGGCGCATAGCCGGCGCATGCGGCGCCTCCAATTGGCAAACGAACGCGTTTGCTGCAATCCAGCATCTGAGTGGATTTCTTCACCTCCACAGTGGCCATCTTAATAGAGTGCTTGCTTTGAGCTGTGAAAAAATGAAGAACGTTAATAAAGAACTTATCATATCAATGCCAGCTTACCTAAAGCCCGACCAGCACTAGCCGTATCCTCAAACTCTAAGAACCCAAAGCCACGCTTGCGTCCGGTCTCCTTGTCTAACAACACCTTGACGCTGTTGATAGCACCGAATTGAGAAAAATATTCTCGCAAAGTACTCTCATCGTGGCAGTCCTTGAGACCACCGAGAAATATCTTGTTCGTCTTGATATTGCTCAAATGGCCGATGGCCTTGTTGAACTCATGACGTGGAAAAGCACGTTTGGTGTCCACAGTTCTACGAGTGTTATTAACAAATATCTAAATGTGTATATATATATGTATGATATAACCTTGAAATAGGAGACTTACTTGCTGTCAATGATATGTGGACGGGCACGCTGAACGTTCTCAACGGAGCCCGGCTCTACATAGGTCACAAAACCAAAGCCGCGCGAGCGATTGGATATTGGATCACGCATAACCACAGCATCGGAGACAACGCCAAATTGGCTGAAAAATTGGCGCATCGTATCGGCAGTGGTATTAATGGAGAGACCACCGACAAATATTTTGCGCAAATGCTCGTTGTTCTCCGATGCATTAACGCTGCTCTGATTCGAATCAGCCATTTCTGTGCCGCCGTTACCAGAGGCGCGACCACCGATTTTGCGCTTCTGCAATTGGGCAGAATTTCGCATTTGTAAAGCTTAATTAATAATATAAAATGGCATACATACCTCTTGGTAGAAGGGCGCATTAACAACCGAGTTATTCACCATTTTTGGCATGAAAACTAATTTCTGCTGCTGAACAATAAAAGAAAAGCACAAAACTGAACTGGCTAAAAATTAAATGACAACGAAAGAGCCGGAAAAGTTTTAAACGTCAAACAAGTGTTGCCGTATCTGAAATTTATCTACGATTGTAACTCCTTTCATGCAACCAACCGGCAACCCTATTGAAATGCAAGGACTAATTGGCTAGTGTTGGGAAGATGACGTGTACCTATCGAAGTAACGGTAGTTATTGAACGAAACGCCACCACATTTCTGGCACTGCCAACTTTAACGGAAAATAACGGCTTTTTAAACAACAGTGTTTCGACTAAAAGACCGTAAGATTTCTCTAGCTATCGATAATCGATTAACATTGATATCGTTCAACTGTTCAATCATGTCGCCTGGAACAGAAATTAAAATTTTTACACAATCTCAAAATGCCCATTATCTCAACACAGAAAAACGTACTTTCTTTTGGTAAATAAATTTTATTGCAATTAAAATCATTCAATATGACACAATCGAGATGGTTATTTACCTGCACTTACCACTTACCTTTTAACTGAAGCTAGCGCCCCAGTTCAGTTCACAGCCAACCAAAATCCGAGGTGAGCCCAAGCTCCTTGGGAACTACCAGATTGCCCGCATTGCAGAATATCCAGCATTTTGGGCAGTCTTGCAAAGAAATACGTAGTGCATTAGTAAGCTGTTGCCAATTTGTTGTTCAGGTATAAACTTGACGCGAAGTGCGGTAATTGCTATTATCTACACAAGCGCTTTCTCCTTTTTTTTAAGGTTACTCAATTAGATTTTTGCCTACCTTAGTGCAAAACTTACTAATAATTTTTGTTTACTCTTTGCGAGAGCTATTCATTCCTCTTGCTGCGGGTTGGAGGGGGTTTCTTCCTTTTCTTTTCTTTGTAGTCACAATTCGTGGGTGGGTAACATTAATTTTATTATCTCTTTCTTGATTTTGTTTTAACCTCGTAACGTACTAAATACAGAATAAATTTTTGCTTTTGGTTCTTTGTACCAAGTATTAATTAGTGTAGCAGCTATATACGTCTTATACACTAACAAAAATTGGTATGTAATGATTAATGGATAATTCAAATCTGCATTCTGCAAGCAATAAAATGATGTAATTCATTTGTACAATCATTTTCGGGTCTCCTTATTGGGTTTAACAGGTTTTTGTTACTTTCAATATTCTTTTTTCTCAGATAATAATATTAAATCATATATATAGATAGAAGAGCTTAACATATAAAAATTTATTACAAAATAGTTTTCTTTCTATATATTTGTTTAATTAAAAAATATTTCTTGATTTGCTATAAAATTAAATTGTGGAAAGTATGAGACAATTGCATCTAAATCGAATATTCAAGGTACAATACCTTTGATTTTCTTTTTGATATAGGTATTATTTAGGTTCAACACTGCTGGCCACAAAAATCGGGCAACTTTATCCGCATGCATGGATTCTCAAAGAGAATTGCTGAATAAGATGCGTTTTCAAATAGTCAATTTTATAAATAAAATGATATAGTTTTAGTATATTTTTCGGATAGGTTTTTGTTTTTCTTTTTTTTTATGTTGTTTTTTGTTGTGTAGTGTGGTTAATTTAGTTAAAACTAAGCGTTCATCAAGGTTCTTAAAATCCTAAACACGAATTGATAATAAAAATTAAATGTAGGTATAGACTGAGAGACAAGACATTAGCAATAAATTGTTGACATTGTTGATTGAAGTGAGTTTCTTGCTTTTTTATCGGGTTTAGATAGTTGCTTTGGCTGGTCTTGAGGGCAATCAATGTCGATTGCCTGATAACTGCATAGCTGCTGCTTACTGGCTTTTATTCAAATCATTCATTATCTTGTCTGCCTGCCTTGCCTTGCCCAAATTTCACTGCCTCTCACTGTCATTGATTGCCTGCCTCTGCTTCTGCCTCTGCCTGTCTCACTGCCTGCGCCTAGACTGCCTGTTTGTCTAGCTTGAACTGATTCTGTAAGTGTTTACCTATTTGCGAGAAAGGAGAAAATTTGCATTAGCGCATTAAAAACATGTTTTTGATTATCACAATTGCTTCGATTGTTGTTTGCAACTACAATATTAATATTTCGCTCGAACGCTTTAAAATGCAATCATATATTTACGTTTATATAAATAGTAAAGAGAATTGGATATGGAATTAATCGTATTTACCTTGATTAGTAACGTCTGTTTCCACCCATATTGCCGCCTTGAGTAGTGTTGTAATTGTTGCCACCGCCAAAACCGCCCTGGCCACCGCCGCCGCCTTGGCCAGCACCTGAAAAAAACATTTAATCAGTCGAACTTTTCAAAAATATCAGTAATCCGTTTACTCACTCTTGTTAAAGCCACCTGGGTTGTAAGGCGCTGGGCGATTGTTGCCAAAGTTACTGTTGCGCTGTGGGCCACCACCGTAGCTCTGTTGGTAATCGTTGCTGAAGCTGCCGCCACCACTGCCACCGCCCCAGTTGCCGTTGCTGTTGCCACCGCCGCCGCTGTAGCCACCGCCACCACCATTGTTCCAGCCACCACCGCCGCCGCTGTTACCGCCCTGGTTGTTCCACGGACCACTCTGTTGGTTCCAGCCGCCAGAGCTGCCTTGGTTGCCTCCAAAGTTGCCATTATTACCAAAGCCTCCGCCGCCGGAGCCCCAATTACCGCCACCATTCTGACGATTGTTACCCCAGCCGCCGCCTTGGCCGCCGCGATCACCACCTCGTCCGCCGGCACGTCCACCAGGACCTCCGCGGCCGCTCCCGCCGCCGCCACCACCACCTTGACGATCCATATCCTGTTTGGCAATTGCTTTCTTCACATCAAGCGTTTTGTTCTTGATGGTGTGCGTCTTCTGCAAGATAATTTTGTCCACGGGGTCGTAGTCATCGAACTCAATGAACGCAAAGCCGCGCTTTTTGCCCGTGTCCTTATCGGACACAATATTCACGCCCACAATTTGTCCAAACTCCTTGAAATACTCGCGCAGGCATTCTTCGTCATGATCGTCCCGCAGACCGCCTACAAACAGTTTCTTAACCGTGGCGCCGGCATTGGGTGCATCGATTTCCTGTCGTGGCACAGCACGCTTTGGCTCTACAGTGCGTCCATCGATTTTATGAGGACGTGCATTCTGCGCATTGTCAATCATATATGACTGTGAGTAAGTAATGAAGCCGAAACCGCGAGAACGTTTTGTTTTGGGATCCTTCATGACCACGACATCGACGATATTTCCCCACTTCTCAAAATGAGCTTTAAGGCCCTCATCGGTGGTTCGGTAGTCCAAACCGCCAATGAACAGTTTGCGGAGTTGCTCGGGCTCAGAAATTTGCTGCAGAAAAGTAAACAACAACAAGGTACAGTTAGTCACAAGTGAAATCAATAAAAAATGCCGCCCGCCATTTTTTTTTTTTTTTTTTTTTTTTTTCATATTTGCATTGACTCATGTAATAAAATAAAACAGTAAGGCAACCGGAAAGTTTTTAATTTGTTTTCTTTATTTAGCCTTCTTCAATTCGAATATAGAGAATATTACGTTGCAAATGCACATACACAGCAAAATTCGAAATGCCATTTTCATATTTCTTCAATGTGTCGGCATCGGCATTTTTTGCATGCGAATTGATAATAAACATTACGCTCACCTCATCATTGTCGTCGTAGTTTCCATTTGAATCGTTTAAATCAGCCATTTCACTTGTTCTCTTTTTTAGTTTATTAATTGTTCAACGGTTTTCTACAGGAAAAATTAATTTATTTGAAGCAGACGCCCAGTTCACTCACACGTACAACAAGAGAAAAAGTTAGTACCTGCGTGCTGAAAAATGAGCTGGAAAAATGGCGACCACGAATCTGACAGCAGATGCCGGCCGAGATGATCATTTATGCGATAGTAACTGTTATATACCGAAACAGTCACTGTTAAGCGGGATTTTGATTTAGGACTCAATTATTTCACGAAATGTATGATATTGCACTCAAACTGAATATTTACTTATCATCCTTTAATATATAAGTAATTAAATAAATATATATTACCTTCCTGCAGTATATTAAATATAGACATGTAACAACAATAGTTGTGTGTAAGAAACTCGTGACAGGTAACTATCGAATTGCTTTACAATATACCAGGGCTACACATAATGCTCTGATGCCGCATTGAAGCGGCAAGCAGTTTTGAGTTCAGTGTCATTTCCGTAGAAATTGCGTTGAGGTTGAGTCTGCATTATTTTTCTGTGACGTGCGGTGCGTAAAAAAACTAGAAAGTGTTTAAATCTAGCAAAGAATATATTAACAATAAATACTTGTTAATAAACGGTACGTGAATAATTTGTGTATCATAGTAATTAGGAAAAAGTGGTAACGATGCAGTTATAAATATTTTTTTTCGCTGAAAAGTTCTGTACCCGGTGTACAACGTTGACATCGCCGCCATCTTGGCAAATACACACATACTATACATGAATTTCACTCACCCTCCCAGCCATAAATACATAGGCATATACATAGTTTAGTGCTTAAAAATATTAAAATTGGTGAAAAAGAAACATAGTTTTTACACTTCTGATATTTTACAGCATAATTAGCAACAAATATGGTTGGATCGCGCGTTTATGTAGGCGGACTACCCTACGGAGTCCGTGAACGCGACTTAGAGCGCTTTTTCAAAGGCTATGGACGCACTCGTGATATACTTATCAAGAACGGCTATGGCTTCGTGGTAAGTAGTCAAAACAAAGAGAAAAAAGTAGAGCAACCAAAAATTGATAAATCGATAATTAATTCAATTTGCAGGAATTTGAGGACTATCGTGATGCAGACGATGCCGTATACGAATTAAACGGGAAAGAACTGCTGGGGGAACGGTAAGTTTAATTAATGCGAAATTTTTGCTTAACATAGGAAAGAATTATATATATATCGTTCCGAAATATTATAGTGTTGTTGTTGAGCCAGCTAGGGGCACAGCGCGTGGCAGTAATCGGGATCGTTACGATGATCGCTACGGCGGACGCCGCGGTGGAGGCGGCAGATATAATGATAAGTAAGTACAGCTGCGACCGTTAAGTTTAGATTAGCTATTTTCTGCTTTTCTCATTCGTTCAATGAACGTAAGACTGTGGACCCGTGGCTAAAAATTAGATTGAATTATGAACGAAAATTAAATTAAGAAATCGCCAAGTGTTTATTTGTACAACAAAATTCAATCGTGTCTACTTGAAAAGTTTACATAACACGCAATACTCCATTTATTTAAATATTTGTTTTGGGCTTTCGACGATTAATTTTCGTTCGTTTAGTGCACAAGTGATGCACTGTTGCTATCTCATTAGATTATCAGTTTAGCTACTTTTGGGTCCACAATAATAGTGATAGTCCCACTCATTCTCTAAAGACACTGACATGCTGTTTATATATATATATATATGTTAATATAACTTTCTGTTTTGCTAATTATGATATACATATATTAATTTACTTACCTTCTGCACGTCTTAATAATTTCATGCACATAATTTTTTAATAATTGAATTTTCCGCGGTACGCCTTTTGCGACTGCCTATCCCAATCCCATTTCTTTTTCGTTTCTTTGAAATGCTTTCGATTTATGCTCTCGCCCTTTGGCTAAGAAGTAGCATCTACAATTTGCACAATATTGTACATATATATAAAAATGATTTGAGCAGCAGCGCAGTGTCAATACTAATTTTGAATTCATTAAATTATTCACCAGAAACAAAAATTCCAGATCATCCTCTCGTTATGGGCCGCCATTGCGCACTGAGTATCGTTTGATTGTCGAGAATTTATCCAGCCGCGTTAGCTGGCAGGTAAGCTTTCTTAGTTTTCATACATACATCCTATAAACCTATAGCTTTAACTGTAGAATAGACTGTATTTAGAAGTAACAACTATCTAACTTATTAAATGATCTGATCGGATGCGTCAGTTTCAAAGAGCTAATCAATCTATCTATAAACTATATGTTTAATTTAAGCGAAGCACTTCCTCGTTTCACCTATTTTTTATGATTTTTTTTAAAGTCCCCTTATAAGTTGGTGATGCTCCCCAAAACCATTTTATTTTCTTTCAAGTAGATTAGTTTACCCTTATCAATTATTGGAGCTGGAAAACTAAGGAATATGGTTTCTAATTATCAATGACAGATATATTAATTTAACAATTAACATTAACATTGAAGCAAATTAAATAATTTTAGTTCATGTCCACATTGAAGGCTTTCCAGCTCCGGTAAATGACGTTTGTCTATTATGTTTAAGCTGTACAGTTGATTTATAGCCCTAAGCAAAAGTAAAACAATGCAAAATGTTCGTTAACAACTCTGGTACTGATCGTTGCAATCCCAACAATTATTTTTTCCACACCAACCAAAAAAATAAAAGAGTTTGATGTGTATCTGTTACTGAACCGCCCCAGAGCTTAGAAGAGAGTGACAAATAATACAGGCAGAGAGAATCGGTGCCACAAACCGAGCTGAACACAATATCAAAAAACCAGCTATGGCCAAATACTTCGTCGATGTACGATATAATAAGGCATGGCCGGGGGCCGCAACTAGTTACATACATACATGTGTTATAAATCGGATGAAATGCCACTAAAAATCGAGAGACAGGCAACAGAACACGCACGCAACGCATATATAAACTAAATGATTCGACGCCTGACAGCATCCCACGTTATCAGTGTCGGTCGCTTTATGAAAGATCTTCGCTTGGGTCATAACAAACGATATATTCCCTTTTAAACCATCTCCCAACCAAACACACACTTGGTCATCGCGCTGTCGTCATCGCCTTCGCCGCCGTCGTCGTCGTCGTTGATGCCTCGTCGTCATCCATGCCAAAAACAAAACAAAAAAAAACCATAAAACTGATGTGAATTGTGATGGGCTAACAAGAGGCCAGCCTACGCTCAACGCCAAGAATATGTTATTGCCGTACTGCTTAGGCTGGCCTCTTGTTCTCTGAGAATTAGGTATTTAAATGAATAAGCATTCACAATTTAATTTTAAAAAATTATATAAAGAATTGTCAAATTCCTTATAGCGAATGTGAGAGTTTTGAGGTCGTATGAGAGAGATTGAGAGATGTTAACAAAGTAACTAAACAGTTAGATGCGATGGGATGATGATGATGATGACTGTTGATGACATGACGATGATGATACTGGCTGACTCTTTAACGTGTTTACTTCATCTTCGGTTAGACAAAGTGCAGCACACACAATGCATCCAATACTAGCGACAACATTTGCCAATTCTGTGTCTGTGTTCTTCCCCCTTACTACTGGCCCGGCTTGGCCTGAATCTGGCTCTGGCTCCGGCTCCGGCTCTGACTCTGGCTCCGGCTCTGGCTGACTATCGACTAGAGACTCTTGGAGCAGCTATCGCGCCATCGTCGCACATCGACGCCAACGACGTCGTCCAGCCTAGCCTCAGAGGCGATCCCCCCAAAACGTATTTCTTATTTTTACAGTTCGCTTATGTGTGAGGCCATAAGAGAGAGAGATGAGAGATGCCGCCGCCTGGTTGACTGCCTGGTTGCATACTGTTGTGTACTGTGCGTACTGTGCTGCTCTACACTGTTGTCACTGCTCGCTCTCTCACCCACAAATCCCGTCTGCGGCCGCGGCAGTGGTGTTGGCTCCCTGGCAACTATTTCTGACTGTGCGTTCATTTGGGTCCCACGATAACAAAAACAAAAGTACAAGAACAAACCAAATACCACAAACGTAGCACAACAAAAATACTATTTTTTTTATAAATGAATTTATTCAAAATAATGTTGAAAACACACCAAAAACCATAAACCAAATGTCAAACATTTGCCCGACTGACTGGCATGGCTTTGATGCGATTTTCGGGTTGCTGGCCTGGCCTGGTCGCCAACATGATGATCATATGATTTGATGGTAGAGATGTGGAGCTCTCGATCTTCTCGCTTACTGCTCCTTTGATGAGGTCGTGCGGTCCAACCAAGGGCCGACAGTAACTAGGCAGACAAACTAAACTCTCGGTGTTGTGCGATAAAAGCGATGTGTGTGTCCTCTCTCTGAAAGCGCATTAAGTAAGAACTCAATTACAACTTATGTTTTAATTTTGATCAAGAAACCAAAAGAAAAAAAATATATCTATAAATATATATATGTTATATATAATTATGCTTACGTTTTGTACCGCGTGCAGCAGCCAACACAAGCAATGAATATTTCGACCGAACTGGCGAACTGCTGTGCTCGATTCTGACTGAACTCTCTGGCAACGGCGCAACTGGCACTTGCACTTCTACCCCCATAAAACTACCCCCTCAAAGTATATTAGGCAGGCGATGCGAGAGCGATCACATCATACATACCAGTGAGAGAAAGACAGATTGAGAGGCAAAGAGGGCAGAGCTTTGGTTAGGAAGGCCCAGTTCCACAACTGTTGCGCATATATAGCATTCAGCGATACCAGCTCGGGAATATATTCAAACTGCTTGGTCTGCACGCTGTATTTGATTTGTCTAGATGAGCACAAAACTGCCGATGGCTATATTTTATACTAATTTATAAACTGTTTTTCGTATTTGTGCGCTATCTGTAGGATCTAAAGGATTACATGCGCCAAGCTGGCGAGGTTACCTATGCTGATGCCCATAAGCAGCGTCGCAACGAAGGGTAAGTTGATTATGAAACTTTATATAGAATTCAGTTCACTAATTCCGTTATATCTAACTCTTAGTGTGGTCGAATTCGCCTCGTTGTCGGACATGAAGACCGCCATTGAGAAACTCGATGATACCGAGCTGAATGGTCGTCGTGTGCATTTGGTGGAGGATCGTCGTGGTGGACGCAGCGGTGGTGGTGGAGGCGGCGGTGGTGGTGGTGGTGGCGGCGGTGGTGGACGTGGCCGATCACGTTCGTCTAGCTCGCGTTCACGTTCTCGCTCTCGCAGGCGTTCTCGCTCACGCCGTTCGTCGCACTCGCGCTCGAAGTCACGCAGTCGCTCCAAGTCTCGCGGTGGGCGCTCCAAGTCAAAGTCCCCAGTCAAATCGCGTTCTCGCTCACGTTCGCGCTCCAAGTGAGTTCAATTACTCGTCTGAGCCTACTTTTCATTTTATAACAATCTATTATTTCTTCTGTTGCAGCAAATCTCGTGATGTGTCCAAGTCAAAGTCAAAGTCTCGCTCTCGCACTCGCTCCCGCTCGCCCAAGCGCGATTCACACTCACGTTCACGCTCTAACTCTAAGCGTGAGTCACGTTCCCGTTCACGTTCAAAGTCGAATCGCCGTGATTCGCGTTCACGGTAAGTCGTTCTACATGTTTTTGAGCTTTATGTGATATATGTTTTCTTTTCGTGCTTTCTTTGGTTTTTTTTTTGGGATATGCAGACCATGTTTGGTGGCCCCAAATGTTTAATATATATATTAAAATGCTTTTCAAAAATCTTTTTTGCAGTGATCGTTCTGCATCGCCCGATAACAAGTCGCGCTCTCGTTCTCGTTCACGTTCAGCATCGCCGAAGAATGGAAACGCTTCACCGGATCGCAACACCGAAAGCATGGATGATTAGATTAGTTAGCTGTCCCATTAATTATAAAAATATTGATTTTAGTTTTCGACTATTTACTATATAGAAAAACAAATACAGACACCCCTATCCACCAAAATCACTTGAAACAAAGGAAACACTCAAAAAGCAAAATCAGCGAAATCATTGTGCAAATCTTTTATCCACTACCAAACATCGTAAACATTTTTTTAATATTTAAAAATTATGTTTTAAGTATGCATTCGACAGACATGGCTAGGCCCTAAATCAACTTGATTGTAACACACAGCAAAGGACAGGGACAAAGGACAGTCGGTCGAACATTTTTCCATTGATTAATTTTTGTGCAAAGGCAACGGAAATTCTTGCCTAACAAATTGTTTACACCGAATTATAACACATTTGTCTTTACAAATATATTTCAATAAAAACTGAATGGATTACTTATATACAAACTGAAAATGTGAACTTATATTTTCATCTGGGTTAAAGGTGGAGATCAAAAAGAATTCCTTATGCAATGTGTATTTATATAAATTTTGGTATTTATTTTCGAATTTGAATATACTTTTTGGGATGTATATTACAAAGTCTTTTGATTTGAATTGTTTCGCTTTATTTTCAATGAATTAAAATTACAATTTGTTTTATTTGTTTCATTTAGAATTGAGTAGCTAAATTTCATATTTGTGAAATTGTTTAAACACATACGATACGATAACTACTAAAAATTTGAAATAAATTGTATATTAAAAAGTCGTATTTTATAATATTCAGTTTTTTTTTTGTTCTTTGTTTACCTTTTTGATAATACAGAATTAAATACATAACTATTTTAGAACTTCGGTAGCTTTTGGATTTTCCGTTTTGTTTCTTTAACAATAGTTTTCTTTGACTTTAAAGTATATCAGTAATTACGTTGACTAAAATATTTACAAAGCAGATAAGGATTTGTTCTGGAAATTATGATTTTTCAAAAAATGGAAGAATCGAATTTGCTTAAAATTGTAGCTGGGATTTATCTACTCTAAGTGTGAACAAAATGCAATCGTCTGACGGAGTTGAGGGTCTGTCTAGTTTCTGGGATTGCGAATGGCGGGGAAATATGTGCATAGTGGGCGTGGCACCCACCTGTACGCCTATCTGTCTAAATCTATATTTTGTTTGGCACTCTTTGGAGACAATTGAGCACTTGGCTTTCATTTGACCTTGGCGTTGTTTTTTATTTACTTGTTATGCGACTACTAACTATAGTATGTATATTTAGATGTAGTATTGTTAAACTAATATCCCGCTCATTATAATTAATAATCATAAGAAATATAATAATATATATACGAATAAAATGGGCTATCTTCTAATCAAATTATTAAGCAATGTAATTTCTGTTGTATATATATATGTAATAAATATTTACAGAATTGAAATTTGACACGGCTCTGAAAACTATTTGGATGTCTCTATATATGGGTATTTAAGTGCAGCCTGGTAGAGGCAGTTCTAGTCTAGTGAATCTCACTGTATATTTCGATATATTGATAAAGAGAAAGAGAGCGAATGAGAGTGTGAGCGTGTGGGTGTGAGATAGCCGGAGTTATTGATCATTCTGAGTTTTGTCTATCGCTCGGAAATGGCAGTGGTTAAGATCAATTTTCTAGTGCCCTAAGTCAATAAATATACACATAAGATATAGCTAGCTCTCTAATGCTTATCATATATATATCTATTTATGTGTAAGTGTGTGTATACATAGATGGTATTTATGCACTAATTTACATTGTAAATGCACATAAATTTTAATTTCGCAAACGCACAAGATTTTTGCACATTTCAATTTAGCAATTTATTTTTGTTTTTTGTTTTTCAATTTGTTATTTTCACTATGCTTCAGTTTCAAATTCCGTTAGGTTTAAGTATAATGTATCAGAGAAAGTTTATCACTTTAATTATATTTAAGTCGTTTTCTAGGTTTTTGCTTGCGGGGCACAACTGGATGGGGGACGAAGGGCGTGGCCACATTCGTTGCTCCAAACTTAGTTATCTAAATGCGAAACGATAAAAGTGATACATTGCGCTTGAGCAATTTGTGCGGCGGCTTGTGTGGCGAACGATTTTCGGTATCATCGACCACATCCAGACCCATGCCCATGCCCATGCCCATGCCGAGGTGGCTGCCAGTCATGATGCCGCTGCCATTGAGGGCGCCAATTGTGTGCATGCTCTGCGTATCATAGTTCAGATCCTGCATGGGCACCACCTCCGGCAACAGGTGTCGTATGTGCGTGGGCGAACGACGCAGCTTGTATTGATGCCTGTTGAAATAGCAAGAGTAAATGCAAAATATTATTAGCTAATTTAAATAAGTAATATTAATATATTAATCATATTATTTAAAACTTCAAACATGCAGATTACATAAATTTAAAGCTTCTGCTTACTCTGCAACGTTTGCGCTGGTCGCGTTTTTATGCCTGTTGCCAGCAGAGTCAGAATTTAATCAGGTTTAAACAACATTGAGACATCAAACAAAGCCAAAGAGAGTTACACGGCATCAACATAAAATGCAAAAGCCACAGCAGATAAAGGAAATTGATGAAATGCATTACAGTATTAAAACACATACTCAGATATGAAATATTTAAACTTTGTGTTGTATATGTTGATTTGTACCAATCAATAAATCATCTTAGTACCCAAGATGTGAGCAGGAAATTGTCTGTATGTATATGTATTTATCTATCTACTTGGGGGTGCCGACCTCGAATCGGAGACGGAAAATGACACCCCACAATAATGGATTGCTGTAGATATACAGACAAGACCTGCTCACATTTCGTGTAAATTTTTTATAATCATCAAATACAATATAAAGATAATAAAAAACAATAAATATATATGTACTCAATATACAATATCAGAATTATCAGAAGAGTAAAATTTTTACAGATAAAGAGTTAAAGAGTAAAATTTTTAAAGACTGCTAGAAAAACCAAATGAATATTTCTAGGATTATTCATTTATTAAAACTGGCTATTTATTTATAGATTCTAGCTAATTTCTTTGCTGATTTGTATGATAGGAAGTATGCTAAATTTATAATACATATATGTACATTCATACATATATGCTAATTCCCTTTAGCTATAAATTCTTTTCCCAAGTCTAAGAGTCTGTGCCAGAAGCTCCACCCTGTTCTCTCATGTGCTCTTTTCTTTCATAAGTATTCTGAGCTCGTAAAGATGGAAGCGGAAACGGAAGCGGAAGTCGTACAATCACACACAGAGAGAGGCACACACACACACAAGCAACCCTCCCCCTCTCTGTCTAAAGATGCTAATTGGTCTATGTCTGGGCCCTTTTAGCTTGGATCAGACTTAAAGTTTATATCGCATTTTACATACTTTTTATGTCGATTGCCATTGAGGCAGATGCAGCGGCAAGAGCACATCGAGGATGTATTCGTGCCGTTCAGAGATTGGCCATCTTGTCCTTCGTAGCCGCTCAATATGGAACCGTTGGATGTTATCACATCGCCCTCCAGCTTGACAGCCACTTGAAGTGCCTGTAATATCACATCGCGTGCAATTAGTAGATATTTAGATTTAGATATAGCTAAGATATAGATTGAAGCGCAGTTTATTGTGAATGGAAAGTGTGTGTGTTGTTGTCTGCAAGCTGTTATTGTTGTAATTGTAATTGTTGTTGTTGAGATGAAAAATGTTTTTGTACAGTGTCTGTTAGGTACTGAATTGATAGTAGCAGAAGTTGTAATAGTTGGAGTATTTGTTTAGTCAGAGTAGGAGTAGATATATTTTTAGTTTAGCTCAAAGAACCACCAGCAATCACCTCATTGGTCCATAAAGAGGACTTGGTCATAAACTAAGTGCGCGCGCGTTTTGCATTTGTTTCATATTTCATTAAGTCAAAAGCAACCGAAAATATGCCCAAAAAGATACAGAAACAAATATATTTTTATAAATATATATATGTATATATATTCGATTGTCGATTAAGAGATTTCTTTGTAATAAATTGATTAAAAAAATTAAGGAATTCAAATACAATTCGTACAAATAGTAAAAAAAAAATTGAGAATTGTGCACGAATAAATTTTTAAAAATTTTATAAATTGTGCTTTATAAAATTGGCAAGCATTTAGTAAAATTCAATAAAAAATTTGATTTTTATCTTTAAGAAATGAGTGAAAAAATGTTGAAAACGCATTTGAAAGATTTGTAAAGGGAATTAGAAATACTCTGCAGTTAGAGGTCAGCAAGATATACGAAGATAAGTATTATTTAGGGCGCAGTGAGACTAATAGATATAAGTTTAAGGTTAGATAAACTTTTTACTACCAACTGCTCAACTTGATAAATGTAATTGTATTATTACTTTACTTTTTTATAAAAAAAAACAGTCCGCAAGTCTACATAAGAAATAGGAATGGCATGGACAATATTGATGAAAGGAAATGGGCATCATTTAAAGCTCACCTGCATGGCCTGGGCCTCGTCGCGTCGCTCATCCTCGGTATTCATTGTAACAAACCTTAGAACTAACAGATTCAGTGAGGCGGCAACAATTGCCAGGCCGAATAGTATAAATATCAGTGCGAACATAACATATTCGGGTTTTCGATTTAGTGCATTGTCCTTCTGCAAAGCTACCATATCGCCGAAGCCTAAAAGAAATTACATTTTATAATACATAAATATCTACATAATTATTTAAATACAATACAATATAAATATGTATTTATGTAAAGTAAACAGAGTAGCAAAAATTACTTGATTGAAAACTGTTACTACTTCAGCTTAGTTACCCTTCATGACAATAACTATTCTCACCTATTGTGGTTAAAGTAATAAAACAGTAATATACTGAATCAAAGTAGCTCCAGCCCTCAAATCTTGAAAAGGCCGCAGCACCGCCTGCAATCGTCAGTGAACTGAGCGTCGTGACAACGCATATAAGGTCCACCTCTGAGGCAACCGTTCGTTTGCAGCGCAGCGATGTTCGCACCGCCTGGATGACGAAACTGAAATGGATCATAAATTATATAATATGTTTTAAGCATTTTTATAATATAAATATATCTGTTTTGTTTTTGTACCTGCTCAGTCTATTCACTCTTTCTCCGATACTTTGAAACATAACGAGACCCAAGGGTATGCCAACAATTGCGTAGCACATGGTAAACAGTTTCCCGCCACGGGTCGTTGGCGTTGAGTGTCCATAGCCTGAAAATTAATTACAGTATTACATAGTATATCAAATAAAAATGCTTTAATTTCTAATTAACAAATTTTATAAAATAAGCAACAAAATTAAGAATATGTTTGGAAAGTACATTTTTGCTTAATTTGCTTGGTTAGTTAATATATAACAATAAGCTAAAAAGTTAAATATATATATATTTTTAAAATTATAATTATAAATAAAATAATTTAACTTTTGATAAATGTATATATATTTTTTTCTTGTAGATGAAAATAAAATAAATAAATAAATCAAAGCCCAGATCGTTTTAGAAATCCTTTCAAATGAGAATCTAGTTTTCAGCTAATTATCAAATTAAGATAATAATGTAATAAAATTGTAATTTGAAAGGATTTCTAAAACATAATATAATTATAATTTAAATATTTTTAATCATCTGATTTACCAATTGTTGTTAACACTGTCGTTGCATAATAGAATGCGCCAGTGAACTTCCATTGCTGGCCAGCCTTGTGTGGCTCTGATTTGAGCACCACCGTCTCCATGACCTTAAAATCCTCTTGTGATATATTGTATTTGCGTATTATGCGATCCTCGACACCTGCAGTAATGCAATCACAGTAGTGTATTGTATCTATAGTTATATAAGTTATGAATTTCATAATGCTCACTTTGCAACGCCTCCCAGCGTCGTTTTTCCGTCTCCGATTCGAGGGCATCAAAGACGGCGGCACCCACGAGTAGATAGGTAAATGTACACACGATCAGGGATATCGTGCGCACATTTTGTTTCTTCATGCTTCATTTAGGCGAGGTTATTGGCTATGAATATGCATTTCATTCACAATAGACAGTCGTTGTGCCCTCCTCGCTTCTGCTCCTGGCTGCTGGCGGCGTCTTCTCTTGCGGTTGTACGGTTTATTGCTATTGTGACTAATCCAGCCGCTGTCATCCATATGTGCATGTGTTTGTGTGTATGTGTGTCTGTGTCTGTCAGTGGGTTGGCCGTTTACGTAGAAAGGACGAAACTTTTGTAAATCAGGTTAAGCGCAGTAACTAGCATACGAACACACACACACACACAGCAGCACTTGAAACTCGACACCTTGGCCGCCTGCCCTGTGCCTGCCTCTCCCTGTCTCTCCCTTTCTCGTCCACACACACACGCAGCCTTAGGCACTGCCTAATCACAGTCTTGGCCGTTGCGTGTGTGTGTGTGCTTGGCGTAGTTTAGCTTGAGCTTTTACGTTTTTTGCTGCCTACTTTTTGGCGCACGGGGCAATTATCTGAAAAATTCACTTAGCTGTCACTTGCTCGTGCACTCCACGTGCAATTGCATTAAATATTATATATGTGTATATCTATATAGGTGGTGTGTGTATATATGTGTGTGTGACATATACAACTATAAGTATTTTAATTTTAGCACCACTTGCGTATGCAGATGTGCATGGCCGCATTTATTTTTGTCACACATGCAGCTGATGTCGTCTTTGTCCTCGCGTTCGTTGCGCCCATCCATGTCCTTGTGTTATTTATAACACCGATGCTGTTGCTGCTGCTGTTGAAATTGTAGTTGCATCATTATTTACACAATGCTCGTTTGCTCAATCAGTTGTTAGCGGCAGGACAGGCGCCGTAACCTGCCGTTAGACTCCTGTAAATACGTTTCCTGCTGCTCCTGCTGCTGCTGTTGCTATGGACGGCTAATGCAATAGTTGTGCTGCTGTTGTTGTTGTTGTTGTTGCTGCTGCTCTTGCTGTTGTGCACACGCATAGCGGCATTTCGTTGTTGCACATGTCCTTCGGCTCCAGTTACGTTGCAGTTTAGGTTCCTGTGATTGGCATAGGATTTAAAATGATGGCGTCAATTAGATTGCATGGCAAGCTCTGGCTAAAAATAACAGTCAAGCAAGCTGACAACAGCTTTTGGCCCCATCCTGGCCATTTGCGGGCGGCTAATGAGGCAAATTGCCTAATCTGTCATCGTCAAAAATGAGACGAATGAAAGCAAGAAGCACAGCGGCCAACTGTACAAACAGCACAAAACATGACACAATTCAATACATACACTAACACACACACAAGCATACCAGCACACACACACACACATGTCTATATAAACTGTGTATGTGTAGTAAATTGGCTACATCATGAATTATTTAGCTGTATGCGCAGATAAGCGCCAAGATTTTTGCCACCTAAACGAATGGCAAATCGTGTAAAACTGTAAGCCATTTTGCAGATTTGGCGGCAACGGTAGTTGCTAAATTATTAAAAATAAAAACAGAAGAATAAAAATTACAAATGGTGCGCCAAAGCATAACCAAATAATGAGATGAAAGCAAAGCAAAGCAAATCAAAAAAAAGCTCAGCTGTGTTTGCTTGTGTGTGTGTGTGTGTGTGTGTTGGCAAGCAAAGAAATTTAAAGGCTTGCCTTATTGTTAGGAAAGGCAGCGTATGTTTTGCTTTTGGCCTGCTTTACAATTTGGCTAACAAGTAGGCAGCATTGCAGTGCCATTCAATTATTCATGCCACAGTATTTGTATATGAATTTAAGTTTGTGTGTGTGTGTGAGTGTGCGTGCTGTGCGTCTGGCTGCCTCGCTTTCCATGTATATATGCATGTGTGTGTATATGTGCACGCGTTGAAGCGTACACACATAGTCACACAGCCGCATGCTTCGTTTTTTTTTTTTTTTTTTTTTTTATAATTTATTGAGTCAAGTTATGTGAGGGTGGTTGAACATCATTGTGGATGCCACAACACACACAAATGTGGCATGCTATCGAAATTGATGCTGCAGTAGCAGCAGCAGCCTTGTTAGCTGCGACGCCAGCATCACCGCCCTTAGTTAACTTTTTGCTAGTTTTCCTATTCTATTGCTCATTATTTGTTGCGCCACCCGCAAGCGTATAATCGCGCAGCCTCCGGAGGCCAGAGGCTCGTACTACTATTATTTGTGTCTGTCGTTGACATTAGCTGTGCAGTGGCAATGACAGTGACACTATCAAGAATCCTCTGGCCGTCTGACTGACAGGCCGACTGACTCGTCCTTCGTGCCACACAGCCACACAGCTTCGCGAAAAATGTAATTCAAGCATCAAAAGGAGGAAAAAACTTGTATTCATTATATAAAGTTGAAAACACATACACAATAATCCGAATTAATTTCCCCGAAATTGTTGTTGTAATTAGTAATTTGTGCACATCCTTCAATTAACTTTGGGTTTTATATATATATATATTAATTACACACACTGAAATTTTCACTACAATAAATTCATCTCAATTTGTCGTCAATTGGCTCAACATTTTCTACCGTTCGCCATGCACGCAATGGCGATTGTATTTCTCAACTGGCACCGCGCACGGCGCACAATTTGACAGACAGAGGCTGCTGGATCCTTCAGCGGGCATTAGGGTTGAGCATCCTATAAGCGATGCGGAGTAGGCAGGCGCAAGCTGGCGCTGCCAACTTGCAAAAGCTCAGCGCTAAAGAGCGCGCATTTGAATTTAAGCTCTCGCAGAGCTTTTAAAACTTCATTTGATTACTTCCATAAGGAAATCGCTAAATATTTAATGAACAATGTTAAGATACAATATTTTATTAATAAATGAGCTTAAGCTTTTGTTCAGTTCTAAAAATATAAATTGATTGCTCTGTCACTCCATTATTTCCATAAACACAGCTGTATATATATTTATCGCTAGCTATTTTTAACTTTCATTTCAGTTCCATTTGACCCGCTGACCCCGTCGCCTCTTACATATTGGTGCCATTGCTTGGCACACTTGGCCAGCAGCCGTTGCCGTTTGACATTACGTTGCATTGAAGCCAAATTTGAAATGACAAATTGATTTCACTTTTCAGGTCAAAAATGCAACTTTAATTGATTGCAACCCTTGAAATTACATATCCTAAATGCTTAAATGCACTAAATAAATTATTGTTAATTCTAATGTTCCATTGGCTCTTCGGGCGGCAGCACAATATTGCATCCCAGCAGGCCGCGGCCGACCCAAGTCTTTGGCACCAGCACCAAGTCGAGGAATTGGTCTGCTCGCTTTATCTTCAATTGGACATTTTGATTTTGCATATTGCGCACAACTTCACCAATTTGTTCAAGACTTTTCTTAAAGTTAGTTTCGTTGATTGAACCAAAACGCAAAATCTTGTCGCCTACGCGCAAACCCTGTGGAATAGAAAGCAAACATTTAGATGATATAGATGAGCTATGTTTATATGCATTTACTACTGACCGCTTCCTCGGCTGGCGAATTGGGGCTAACAAGATTAACTACAACTAATGGTTTAGCATTTAGTGGGATTGCAAGTGATCCACCGTGTTCCCGACCATTGCTTAATTCTAAGGCAGAGGCACGATTGATCAGCTCGGGATCTGTGGTGGCGATCTCGGCATGATATTGATTGAGCAGTTCATGTATTTGGTCCAACAGTTGAGCATGATCATTTTGTAAACAGATAATCGTCTGACGTGCTTGTCGCACCTGATAGATGTCAATGTCGTTGCGAGGGTATCCCTCACTATCAACAAGTGGACCGCTCATGCCGACATTGCCGTTCTGAAATAATTAGGCATTAGTACATATATCTAAGGAGTACATAGATATACAATGCAACTAGATATGGTCTAATGTGATTTTGTGGCACATCTCCTACGTCATACAACTGTGCGCTACCTCAACCTTAGTATCCTTGCCTGCATACTTATATCGAAGTATTTACCGCGGTCAGAATTTCTCCATTTTTATTGATTTGTGCCTCCAGTTCCTTTTTAGCGGCTATTAGTCTTTCTAGTCGTGCTTTAGTTGTAATTTCTGTTGCCATGATTTGCACTTATATCTGAAAGGATATATTTCTAAGTGATAAAACAAAAACAAATGTTTTTTTGTCGCCCTGCCGATATATTGTCAGTGATGTGTTGACAAGCTCTGCCTATCGTATGTTTCACAATTTCGAACACGATATATAGTGTAGTTCTCTTTTTCATTTGTATAACAACATTTCGTTGCGACTTTTTCGGCATTGTTTTTAAATATTTGTATTAGTTTTTAAATTTTAGTTATTTGATTTTTAAAGTTTTTTGCTATACATTCGAGAAATATTGTTTCTGATACTTTCTTTCAAACAGCTGATTTTTATTATCGATTATTAAAATGGTGGGAAAATAAATAGTCAATATCGTAATTATCGATATTATATCAACAATTGACATACACATACATACCTAAATACAACATATTCCCAGTCTAAAGTAAACACTGAAATTTATAGCGATAAAGCAAGATCAGCCGAAAACCAACCAGCTAGTAAGCGCTGCGACAATCTTCGTATACAACGAACCGAATGTTCGATCAACGTTAGTCCCCTCATTGAAATGTGAACTGTGCGTTGTGGGCAGCTCGAAGGTTTATGCAATGTTCTAGTTTGGCCCACGAGCACACACAGGAGAGCGAAGAGACGGCAACGGAGCAATAGAGCGCCGTTCATACGTTCATATAATAGCTGTACACCAATAGTGTGTTGAGCTGTTGAGCGCAGCGCATCCAAATGACTGTGACTGTGACCAGTACACATGTAATGGAGGCACAAGCTAAAGCAACACATATACAATCTGGCGGGGGCGGTGAACAGCAGCATGGCTCCACTAAGTCGCTCGATGTGGCTGGCCGGGATGTCGATTTATCTGGCGCTGCCGATGATGAGATGACCGTATTGTTAACAAATAAAAATTATCATTTTGAGGCAACGTCCGATATCGAAGATGCTTTCGTGGAGGTCAACGGCAGCGTCAAGGATATGGAGCTGGATGCCGCCGTTGCACCACCGGCTAGTGGCAATCATCAGACAGAGCATCCGCAAGTCACCTGGCTAGACGACGATGCGATTGACGCATTGGACCGTGTCACGCTCGATATTGGCAACATGTTCTTCAATCGCGTCGATAGTCAGGACATAATATATCAACAGAAAAAGAAGAACATTAAAATGGTTGGAAAGTACGTGATGGGTGATGTGCTAGGCGAGGGCTCATACGGCAAAGTGAAGGAGGCCATGAACTCAGAGAACCTTACGCGTCTCGCCGTTAAGATACTCACAAAGCGGAAACTGCGTCGCATCCCCAATGGCGAGCAGAATGTGACGCGGGAAATTCATTTGCTGAAGCAACTGAAGCACCATAATGTGGTGCAACTGGTCGACGTAATGTACAATGAGGAGAAGCAAAAGATGTACTTGGTCATGGAGTATTGCATTGGAGGCTTGCAGGAGATGTTGGATCATGCGCCCGAAAAGAAGATGCCACTCTATCAGGCACATGGCTATTTTAAGCAATTGGTCAATGGGCTTGAGTATCTGCACAGCTGCCGAGTCATACACAAAGACATCAAGCCGGGCAATCTGCTATTGACCCTGGACCAAACACTCAAGGTATCTGATTTTGGCGTCGCCGAGCAACTGGACATGTTTGCACCCGACGACACCTGTACCACTGGTCAGGGATCACCGGCATTTCAACCACCAGAAATTGCCAATGGCCACGAGACATTTGCAGGCTTCAAGGTGGACATATGGAGCAGCGGAGTTACTCTGTAAGCAATTGCTTGCGATTGATACGAACAATTATAATCTATATTTCATTTTAGTTATAATCTGGTAACGGGTCTATATCCCTTTGAGGGCGACAATATATATCGCTTGTTGGAGAACATTGGACGCAGTCAGTGGATAGCGCCCGACTGGCTATATGAGTTGGATGAAAGTTTTGCGAAATTAATATTGGGCATGCTGCAAGCAGATCCCAGTGCGCGGCTTTCATTGCAACAGATACGCAAAGATGAGTAAGTGCTGTAGAGTGTTAATTAATGATTTGATATTTAACTGTTTTGTATCCTTGCAGTTGGTTCCTGTCCGCACCAGTTGTGACTGGCCCACCGATACCCATTCCTCCACTTAAGGGCGACAAATACGGACGTTCCACAGTACTGCCTTATCTAGAAGCTTATCATTATGGCAATGAACAGGATCAGGAAGATGTTTATTTTACTGAGCATGATGTCAATCGTATGTTAAAGATAATTTGAAACTCTATAAATAAATTTCGTAACTGTATTGTATTTTCATTCGCAGAGGAATTGGCGCGGCGCGCAGCTTCTGCCGCAGCTGAGATACGTGCAACCAAGTCGGCTGCTGCCAGTGCCGCATGCCATTTGTACGAGCCATCGACTAGTGCTGAGGCCGGAGCTGAGTCCATGCTCAACGGTTCCAGGGACGAGACGGTATCGGTTAAGAAAAAGGGCTCTGTACTAAAGCGTCGAGCCAAGAAACTTGCATCCTGCATCTCTGTGCGAAAACTAAGCCATTGTCGTACATCGTAGGCGCTTGCCCTTACCCTAGTTACTAGAGTAATATGGAAAAGTAATAACTTGTTAACAAATTGTGAGCAACTTTTTGGTTTTTTTGTTTTTGTTTTTGTTGTCTTACATTCGCCAAGTATTTATTAAGATTTAAACACAGAATGAAAGCTAGAGAAAGAAAGAATGACAGGGCAGAGCAGGAGAGTAATGGACGTATATACCAAGGGTCGAGACTTTGAGCTAGCTTAGAAAGCGGGTTAGGGAGAATGCAAGTTAAATCCAAGTGACAATACCGTGTATTATATGAAAGAGAGACAGTTACTTAGGTCGTTGAAATGTATTAAATGTAAAGAACAAACACGTTGAATGATTGCAATTAGCAAAGATTCGCTAAAACTAAAGTGCGCATCGGCATATGCAAATAAGTAAATCGGTTAAATTGGCACTCTTGTTGGTTTTTAATATGTTTGAAATCAACACAATTTACAGGCGCCGACTACAAAACAAACTGCTGGACAGTATTTGCAATGGAAAATTTATAAGTGTAATTAAAATTTGAAAACTATTGAAGATTATTTAAATATATATAAAAAACTGCATTTAGTTCACACAAACTTCCTTTCTATTTGGATTTCCTGAATAGATACAGCAAGATCTCTAGCCTAGTTTACTACGTCGTGTATTACAACCGTGGAAGTGTTCTGATTAAACTTTCTAAATACTCGCAATTCGAACTGATCTTATTTATGGAATCTTTGTAGTTTATTGACAAATTTTGTATGATCCTTAATTGGCATTTAAAGTTCGCAATGCCAATTAAGGATCATAACTTAACAGTTAGCTAACTAATTATATTATTCCAATTCTACGACTTCAATGCTGGATTTGGGTGCCGCGAATATTGTTGGCTCTGCTGTTGCTGTAGCGGGTGTACTTATGTGCAGGTCGCTCATTATGAACATTTGATGATAGTGCGGTCCGAGTTTGCTGAGCTTCCTTTGCATCAGATGCCGCAGCGTGTCTACATACTGCGACGGCACGTTCACCTGACTTGTGTTGCGCCAGTGCAGACCATTGTTGTCCACGTGAAAGAGCGCAGGTGAGGGTACATGATCCTTTAAATAATTCCAAATGCACTCACGCAGCAGCACTGCAATCTGCCAAGTAGTGAAATGGGTGAGAGTTATTTGGTAAGTAAATAATATAAAAGTGCATATATCTAATCGAAAACTTACCTCCGGCGCATCGAAGTGCTCAATGATCATGTGCAGGTTGGAAAGCGGTGGCGGTATAAGCTGGCTGATGGTCAGTAGCTGTAGCAGCTTTTTAGTGCACAGCATGAGCTCATCGTTGGCGGATGTGGGCTGAAATTTGTTGACTGTAAAATGGGAAACATAAATATTAAATGATAAACTGAGTACTTGTATATGACTCACCGTTCTTGCCGCGCCAATGATGCAAACATGTGGCGCACAGTGCACGCAGCAGTACTGAGGAGTAGCATAATGCGGGCCTGTGGGTCGCGATTAGGCCAAGGACAGCCCACAGTACAGGCGATGTTATGAAGGCACGACGTATTTGCATATCCCGCTCCATGGTGACGCGAGTGAACTCCTCATCGGGAAAGGGCAGCCCATTGTACATGACATCCGTTGACACCAATTCGACGAGCGTTAACGACACAAGTGAGTATCCTTCAACATTGTTAGGTTTTTCCTGGCAGAATAAAATTTCAATAGTTTCAGTTGTAAACTTGATTGAAGAGTATGTGTTTTGACATACCAGATCTAAGCAGCATGCATTCAGAGCCTTCAGATATAATGTTTGCTTCTCCGCATCGCAGGTTCTGTTGTTGACGGGCAGCACAGGTCGCAGACCTCGTCCAATAACACCTGAATGCAGGACCGAACGATTTGAGTTTGTACCCGAGCTGGTGTGCAGATTTTGCACAATAAGCAACTCTTGTTCGGGTATTTGCAGCTCATCCAGTTCGTATTCTTCTATCTGCCCCAGTAAATGGCCATGATAGAAGAGTGCACCCTCAACCAGCTCACGCAGACATACAGTGCGTGCAATTTTTCTTGCTGTGCACTGGCGCTGCAGCAAGGCAAACGCTCGATGAGCGGCTGCTGCGCGACGAATGATGGCTAGGGATATAAATAATTCATTAGCTGTTCAGTCAATGAGAAAAATTAACTAGGGGCTTACTTTCTTCGGTGAGAGCCACAAAGAAGTACTTTACGCTTAGCACGGCTAGTTTCAGCACCAACGGTGTGCGCAACACATTGCTGCGTGCTCCTGCCTCCATGTTATTCAACAGTTCGACTATTAGATGCGCCAAACGCATGCATGCCGCATCAGGTGTTTCTTCTGTCTTGGGCAATTCACCCGGTTCTAGTTTAGATCGCTTATTCGGGCCATTTCCGTTATACATATCAGGCTGTGTTTCATAGTTGTTGTTGTTGTTGTTATTGGCCTGTTGCTTTTTAAACTTCTCAGCGCTGCGCTCAGCTGCAAGCTTATCCATCCGTAACACCAGCTTTAAAATTGTGCAGTCGAGAATTTGTATTATCTTTGGCAGACATTCGTTCAGTGATTGCATCAGCAACTGAGGCTTGATGTGTGAAAACTGACTCTTCTTGTGCATTCTATTGGAAAAGAGACAACATTAAGAATATACTCAAATAATTAAAATTTTTAGGATTTCTTACTTGGTCAATAGGTTGAGGTTGTAAAAGGTATTATACGCCTCACTTGGCGTGCCGGGCTCAACAGGCAGACGATTGTTAACCTGTTCCTGTAACGTTATATCCTCTAGCACCATTTTGAAACCTTGCGTTATGCTGGGAAAGTTAAGCACGCCGCTCTGGCCACCCAGCAAGCGCATCAGTGCTCCAATTGTATTTGGATTTTGAGCATACGATTTGCGCAGCAATTGTGATATGGTCTGATAATAGATATGAGGATGTTGTGAGGCTGCAAAGCAATGATTTATTGAGTCTATGATGCCAATGATTATTTATTCCTTATACTTACAGACAACGAGCAGCAATCGCACTGCCGTCTGTTGCTCCAATAGATTTGTACTTAGGCAGCTCTTCCACAGCATATATTTAGTTTTCTCGCTGGCCAAGTCTCCGAGTAATGGAAAGTTACGCATGTTGAGCACCCATTGCTCCAATTCCTGCATGGACGTATCCAGAAAGTCTTGACACCAGACATACTTTTCAGCCAATTTGGCAACCATTAAGAGAAGTTTGGCGCCGTGTTGATTTAGGCGTAGCACAGCATTATTCAGGGAGGGCTGCATGTCGGCAAACATTTTGTTGCTTAGCCAAAGCGGCGCCTTCAGCACAATTGCCTCGCACATTTCTTCGTTATCTGTAAGGAATATTTTGGTTTAGTTTATACTATTTAGTATACAACAAATACTCACATGTATCTATAAACACATTGACCAAGCTCTGTAGTATCGCATCGGAATAGTTTGTGGTTATTAGCAGAAATGGGACTATAGCCACGTCAAGTGACTTTTTGGGCTCCAAGCCATCTTTGAGCATTTCACAGAATGCGGCACGCAGTTGTTGCTCATGACATGATGTCATGTAGTCCAGTATGCCTGCTTCCGAGTCCAGATGACAGCGATAATCTTCCACAAAACGCTTAATACCGCACTGCAGTATTTGCATAATGATCTTGTACGGAAAGCAACCCCCCAGTCGCGCCACAATCCAGTCAAAAGTCATTGGATAGCGATGAAATGCATTCAACATGGTTTCCACACATGACTCTGCCTCCGTGTTGTTCAGCTTACGAAAGCAGCCGTTGATTAGCGTGAGTAGACCGTGCATTGCGCTGCACTCCAGCCAATAGTTGCACGAGGCAGGAATGGTCATGCGGCGCTGTGTGTACTTATCTGATAGCTTAGCTACTAACTCCAAGCTCCAGTTGGCTATGAGTGGCGACCATGCCGGTGGACCTTTCCATATTAAATTTTGTAGCGATGTTTTGACGATATTAAAGCTTTCGTATTCCTCTGCCCTCATCTGTTGATGCGCATTGCCATCCTGTTTCATTTGGGATATAGGCAGGCCGGTCTTCTGATCAATCATTTCGGGAGATATATACAGCTGAACTCCGATCTCTGCCAGAATGCCAAAATAATCAAACACAATGTCCCGAGTGGCCGGCAGTTCATCGAGAAAACTCAGCCTGTGTACGTAAAATGCATTGAGTAAAAATTATCTGCTGAATTCCTGCAAATAGGACGCAAACTTACGCCAGTTTGATTAATGAGGGCTTTGTTAGTAGCTGTGTATTACTGTGGCCATTGCTAACTGTGTCTATAAATTGTTTAAGTTGGTCCAATATATTTTGTTGCAACATTTTAACTTGTTTGGGTCTATTTCTTCAGGCAGCCAGAATCCGAGTACACTGAATTGTTGATATTGTATCGATACTATCGTGCGTAAACGGCTGTGCGATAACACGTTCACGATTAGTAGCAAAGTGATTATTTTTCATATATCGACTTTTTCCGAAATACGAGTAACGTTTTTTTTTCTACGTGACGAAAAACTGTAAACTTGCAAATGAGTTTACATTAATAAATAAGAGCAACGGTATAATATGCTAATGTTGCATCAACAGAAGCAGCATTTAAATTAATATTATTAGTATAATTTTTTAAAATCGAATTATTTCTAAAGACAGCTATATTGCTGCTAAACTATCCATCAATTTTAAATTTAAATTTCTTTATCGATATTTGTATTCAATTGCATATATATCATCGATATAATTGCTGCGCGGATTAATTGAAAATCTACAAAAAATTTCCACTTAAATCAATCAATCTGCATATAGTAAACATAAATTATTCAAATTGGTTGTATATGCATAAAATGCATTTTTTACCGTTTTGTTTTTAATGAGCTTAGCTTTTGTTTATGTTAGCAACTGATTTGCATACAAATAATATATGTACAATACAGTAAAAGCATAACAAAATAAAAATAAAAATGAAATTTACTAAATTCTCATGCAAATTTTTAAATGTTGACGCATGGAATTTTTGTGCACCATATATTTCTTGCTAATTGACGAAATTGTCTAACTTGAGATCAATACAATGACCAATTAATATTAGTTAGCCGATTCATTAGGTTTCTGTGTCAACCAGCTGACCTTGATATCATTTCCAACATTGCCGATGTTAAAATCTCTTGCGCAATTTCTAATACCTCTGTTTGGTTTTATGTGTGTACTAAACCCATCGCAGTGGTCATCAACTTCATTCATGCTGATGATCATTATCATGATCCATCTTTAAACGCACATTCACACTTTTAAGTGCTGCTGCTGGTGCTGATGCTGCTGGTGCTGCTGATGCTGGGTCTTCTGCAGATCAATATGCTTTGAACTTGTTTTGGCTGTTGACAAATGTTTTTTTGTAAAAAGATGGACGCGCATCACGTTTTGTTGTTGTGTAGTACGGAAAATCCACGCCGTGTTAATTTAATAGTCTTTACTATTTAAAAATATTTTTTTGGCAAGCCACAAACTGGTTTTTCTCGCTTTCTGTATTTATTATTCTTGATTTCACGATTGACTTTCGATTGCATTGCATTGCTTAACGCAAATACCATGTAAATATGAGAATGATTTGCAGAATTAGAAAATGACGCTTGAGTTAACCGTTATTTAATAAACACAACAACAATGATGGCTAAAGCAAGTGCACCAACAACAACAACAACAACAACGAGCAGCAAGGCCCATGTGTTGCTGCAATGCAGCTGCAGTCGCTGTTGTTAGCAACCGAGGCATCGACTGCGACTTCGACTGCCGCCGCCTTTGTCTTTGAATTTGAGTCTTGAAGAGCTATTGAGGCTCTTTCAGCGCCAAATCAACGCATCAATCATTGGAAGTTGCACAATGCTGGGCCAAAGGGGCCACCTAATGCCAGTTACTGCAATTACGAATTGATGTGGTTGGATTAGATTTTCAATAGTCATTAACCCTAGAATCGATGTAATTTATGTGTATGTCTTACCTTTGCACGCGTTACGCCATGTTTGGTTGATTTGACAAACGCGCAAAACCGAGCGAGACCTTGAACTCCCAGCGTTAGTTTATCATATTTGTATTTAATAGCTGGTCTATGTTTAAATAAGGTCAATGCTCGTAACGAGTTTACAATAAACAAACAAAAAGCGCCAAAATATTCAACTTCAACCACAACAACACCCACAAAAAACTGGCCAGAAATGGATAATGGCCTTAGCAACAAAACCATCATCTGCCAAAGAAAAAAAAAAAAAAAAAAAAAAAAAAAAAAAAAAAAAAAAAAAAAAATTGCGCATTTGATCCCCACTTGACCAGCGTGTAAGTATGTATCCATGGTCCAACCGTTGCTCAAGGACCTGAAGGTTGCACAATTAGGCGTACAGCCTGGTATGGTGATCAGTAGATGAACTTTAAAAAGCATTAGTCCAGGAAACGCAATGACCATACCGGAAGCTGAAGAAATATACCCAAGCGAAAACTGATTGGTGATCAGAGATCACTAGATAGTTCTGTATTTATCTAATAAGTTTGTATTTAATAACTAACCAAAGATTTTAATTGATTAATTGGCAAATTTCTATTTAACGTAATTGTTCTCTAAAATTCTATCTAATTTATATTTATTATATTTTAATAGCTAGTAATATTTACTAATTATCCATCTAAGGCTCTGCCTATAACAATTTTTTATTCAAAATAGTATAGGTATAATGCAATAAAGTGCAAAGGCTTATATATGTGCAAATAAGGCAAGCATTGTTATCAAACTTAAAGGCATTTAAATATCGTACTTTGTATAGTGTAAAACTTAAAGCGTAATAAGTCAATAATTAACTAGCATTATGCAATATTAACGATGATTCGACAGTATTGTGAGCTGAGAGAAATGAATAGCTATGACATACTTACGAACACAGAAGTCCAACTCGATCGGGCCGCTAACAGATTAAATCGAGCACAATGCGCTGAAAAGTGTTTTACAAAACATTTTGTTAATTTGACTAGGAATGACCAATGTCAAGGCAAAGCATAAAATTTCAAATCCAAATGCAGACATTCGTAGTTTGAAATTCGAGCATCACAGTGGGCTTGTTTCGGTCGCTTTGGTGTGCATGCTTTATGATTGAGGAAGCCGCAGTTGGCTATCATCGAAGGTGGGTTGGCTGTTCTTATTCTGTCACAGCATCGCAGATGCCCACACGTTGGCGCCATAAACGAGAGCCAATGTTTTTGTTTTTTCTTCTTCTTTTTTTCCACTGCTAATTTCCGTTGCGTTGGTAGAGTCAAATAGATAAATATATATCAAAATAAACAATAGCAAAATGCGGCCAGCAACACATGTCAAAGTCTTAGTCTGGAATTTTAAATGAACGCAAATCTTTAAACTAGTTTTGTCTCATAATTAATTTGTATGCATACTGTATGCAAAAATATCGCATAGTATTGTTATTATTTTTGCAAATATTTGACTATTGAAATACTTAATATTTGCATTCGTATGCATCTACTCTTTCATAAGATTACGGAAAATACGCACGCGCATTGTCAAGGGTTAACTTATGGCCTCTCATGGGCTTTCACAAGAACTTTGCACTCAACGCTCATCGTTCACTGCTTACCGTAGCTAAACGCAGCTAATCAAAGAAACGAAAAAAAAAAAGCCACTACTTGAGAAGAGCGTAATAATTAGCACTGCCCTTTTATGTGGGTGCAAAGGCACAGAGCGAAGAGCAACAAAGAGCGAAAGAGAGAAAGGTAAGCCGAAAAAAGCTTAAGCGCAAAGTCGAATGCGACGCCGCTTCAGCCACTCGGCCAGTCGGCCACTCGGCCATTCGACCACTCGGCTTATTGAGCTGTACAGCAGCTTAGCGCTCGGCAACAGCATCCTTGCACAAAAATTCGAGCGCAAGCAGCTAAAAGTGAGAGCGCAGCTCTGGCGCTCTCACACATATACATACGCATACACATACACAAATCGCTGACAGCTGCCGACAACCTGTTGAGCTGTTGTTGAACTGAAGCTGCGCTCAGAATTTATCAAAAAGCTTTGTATTCGCTCACCAAAAGAAAAAAACTAAAACGCCAGCGTCGACGTCGACGTCGGCGTCAACATCGCTGCTGCCGTGCCGCTTCGTATAAAAGTAAAGCGGCAACGAGAAATCAAAGTTATTTCAGTGTTTTTGATTTGAATGGTAATACGTGCGCTCACCTAGGCCCCGGTCGAGTCCAGTTAGAGACTACCGACTAGATATTTTTAAAAAGAAGCAGCTGGTCAAATCAGTTGGCCATCAGCAGCGGAGTTGGCAAAACGATAGTTTGATGTGACTGTGATTTAGTTAAAGTAAACACATAAATTCAACGAAGAATTCAATTGAGTATCGAGCATATTAATTGAATCTATATGAATTGTGTGACTTGTGCGCGTGTTTAATCAATTAATTAACATAACTGTCTCAAATACTTAACGTATGCAAATGCCAATGCAAGCATAAGGATAATATAAGTGCATTAATAAATTCATTCAAAGTGAAGTATTTTGCCGCATGCCGCCAAATTGATTTGAATAATTGCCAGTGATAAAGCAAAATCGATTAAAAATATTGGAAAATTCATTCAACTGAAGTTAGTCAACGGGAATTAATAATTGCATAAAAAATGGTAAGTGCGAAATAAAAAACATTGAAGTGACGATTGTAAATTTGTAATCTAATTAGGATAAATTACATGCCTATCACTTGCCCACGAGCTGCAAATAATAGTCATAAATATTTCTATGGCAGAACTTTGAACCATAGAATAAATGGTAAATCACCCGATCTAAATTGCAGTTGCATCTATCTATCTCCACCCATAAGTCGCAATATCTCATGTTACATTGTGAATTTCGCAAGAGGAGGATAGATAAACACTTGAGCGCAGTCGTTAAATTATCTGTTAGTTGAGGGCGATTAGGCGTCGCCTAACCTTCTAACTTAGAAATTTACACGATCGGGGTTTTTTCCCTTCAGTGTCAAGTTCTTTGTTTCTCTCTTTGATCGAGCGTTTCATTTCTGCAGAAATGCAAATACGAGTACGAAATCTACAGTTCATATTTGTCAAGTACAAATTATCCAAAGTTTTCAATGTCTTTTCTTAACAATTTGCAGCGCACAGAACTTTTGCTGCTTTTATGTTTTTTTTTTTTTTTTTATTATTCTTTTTAATATTTTTTTTTTATTTTTTTTTTGCATTTTAATTTTCAAGTTTTCTACGCGACTTTGAATCATTTTTATTATTTTTTGGTGTCTGATTTGCAGTTATTTTCTAGTTCTGTTTTGCTAAAGTCTTTCGCACTTTAACTTTTCCACACATACACACACGCATGTAGAATGCATAGCAAATTTGTGAAAATTGCATTTTGTGCACTGTTGTTTGCGTTGCATCTGCTGGTCAAGTGAAGGGCGCTGTTGGCCTGGTCGACTCGCAAGCGCGCGGACTGCTGTTCGCTCGACAACATTTCACACGGAAATGCAATGCAACCGCACTGACCTTGAATCTCCTCAACTGGATAACTGGATAAATGGCTAACTGCACCGGTTGCCACATACCCTCTCCGTGGCACTTAAGAGTCTGGGGCTTGATTGGCGTGGTCTGATGGCAAGTGAAATGGATAAGATTTCAGGGTCAGCATTCGTATCCGTCGATTGCAGCAGCCACGGCACCAACAAGAGATTGCCTCAGTGAACGACATTGCTGTTGTTGTATTTATTTTGGGTTTTGTATTTGTGTTTGTTGTTGTTTTTGTCATTTGCTGTTGCATTGTTTTTGTCGTGCCTTTTGCTTTGCTTATTCGCCAAGTTTTTTTTTTCTTTATTTATTTTTAAATTTTTACTCATCATCGGATGATGCTGCGGCTGCTATGTAGAAATCCCAGTGATATTCATATTCATTCAGCTGCTTCACTGCAAATTCGACAAAAAAAAAAAAAAAAAAAAAAAAGTTAAAAAAAATGTGCTTTTGGTTAACCAATCGCAGCTAATGATCCCAGCGCACCCATTGCACCATTTTACAAAAATAAAAATAAATAAAAAATATGTATTCAAATCTTTCTTTTTTTGCTTTGGTATTTTTTTATGATTGCACAATGATTATTATAGCTCCATTTTTATAAATTTCTCTTGTAGTACTTTTTTGGTTTTATTTTGATTTTTGACACTGAAAACTGAGAGATTTTCAAGACGCTGACGACGCTATATATATTCGTTCATATTTGTCTTGGGACTTTTACTAGGCCAGCAAATGTAATAACGAAAAAAAAGCAACAACAGCAAAAATATAAAAAATAAATAAAATAAAAATTGATTTTAATCAAGCGATTTGTTTGCAATTGCTGTAAGCACCAGTTTGCCGCGCTGCCAGAGACAGTTTAGTCGCATTTACGTTGACGTTGACGTCGACGGCGCCGTCAGCGTCGCTTGGCGCACAGCTGTGCAGCCATTGAGAGCGAGAGAGCCAGTCCGTGTGTATGCTTGTGTGTGTGAGTGATAAGTTTTCGTTCTTGTAGTTGTTGTTATTGGCCGCATGTGACTCGATCATTTGTGCTTATGTTCGCTATGTTCAAGCAACGCGTCGTATGCGCGTTGCTGTCAAGTATCCGCACTGCAGCCGCAGGCACACACACATACACACGTCGAGGAGCTGCAGTCGCCGCGTGTTGCAATAATAGTGCAATTTGGCCAAAGGTTTATTGTCTAACATTGAATTTGTGCGTGCCTTCAGCACATTTTTTATCTCTGTATACAATTTGTATATATTTATTTTATGTATCTCCGCTCTCTATGTGTGCGTTTGTGTGTGTTTGTGTGGCCAAAGAGTTAACTCTATATCGTATTGTTGTAGACTCGCGACCAAGTGCTAAAAACTGATTAAAAATTTCATGTATTTTGTTTTGTTACACTCAAGAGAGATACAAGCAAGAGAAATAAAAGGTGTGCGCCATGAGTGTGACACAGACAGCGGTTTCTTATCAGACTGTCGTTGAAGTAAGTGTTCTGCTGTGATAATTCAATTACTGATCGTTTCAGATTAGAGAGCATATAAACATATGCATGCATGTATGTTACGATAAAAGCATTCAAATGACATTAAACAAGAAAATAACAAACTTTTAGGCAGTCACCGTGATTGATTAGCGCTTCAATTATTATGCATTTGCTTTTGTTTATATACACACACATATAAAGCTTATGCTTTCGAATAAAATATGACCTTAAGCTCGCTTAAAGGCCGTTCATTTACGCTCGGGAATAAGGTATTTGTTTATAAGTAAAATCGTCACTCTGAACACCATCTTTTGACTGAAAATTAATATGAATTAGAGATAAAAGCATGCCATTAATTGTGTATTCTCAGCATTGTATTGTATGAAACAGGTTGATGGACAACTTGCTTAACTGTCATGCAAGTCCTGAGCAAAGTTATTAACATTTGGCATTTGCAGTCTGGGACTCTCAGCCAACAAGTTTTCTGATGGCGTGCTGAACTGAACTGAATTGAACTGGATTGAATTGTCTTACGCATATTTACAGCTGTGCACTTGATTATTTGCTTAACTGTGCAACGCTCAAGTCAACAAGCCGCAACAAGCATGCAATACATTTTAAGCCACATACACAAAAAACGGAAAGCAACAAAAAGAACAACTTGTAACGGGGGCCTCTTACACCAATTACTTGGTATTTGAGGCCACAGCGGCGACGGCAGCAGCGACGGCGGCGGCGGCGGCGGCGGCCAACTGCTTGATTGCCAAATTAACGCGATTTAGTTGCTCTAAAAGTCGCGCGAGCTCCCGCTCAAACTGCCTCAAAGTCTTCTTTTGCCAGCAGACAAACAAGTAATATATACATACATATATATATATATACCATATATACCATATATACATGTATGTATATATATTAGTCTTTTGCTTTTTTCTATTTGGGTATATTCATTCCAGCTTGTGCAGCAAAGCGGTTTTTTTTTCTTGATGCTGATGATGAAATAATGTTGAGACGTTAAGGCGCGTTTTAAAACGCGCGCAAGTCGCTAGCGAATGTGAATGTTGTGCAGATCGCGTTGCATTTTCAACTTGACCCACAATTGCAGCAACTGCAACATCAGCACCACCAACAGCACTACCAACAGCCCCACCAACAGCCCCACCAACAGCACCACCAACAGCAGCAGCAGCAGCAGCAGCAGTTGAATGTTTATAATTTTTCTCTTTTATTTTTATTACTACACCCGATCGAGACTCAAATGGGCAGCACATTGCAAGCAGTATATGCTAGTGTGTGTGTCTGTGTGTGTCTGTGTGTGTATGTGTGTGTATTGGTCCATTCGGTGTTGCATAATTCGTCTTATTAGACAAGATGCCGCTGTTGAAGTAAAAGTCTCAAGCTGAACCTGAATTTTGGCTTCAAAAGCCAGTTGCACACACACATACATTCCTAGCTGATCTCTATGTGTATGTGTGTGGGTCTGTTGTTGGACTGCGCTCAACTTGACCTATAAATTGATTTTATGTTGTGCAGGTTCCACAATTCGTTTTTCGTCTCTTTTCTTTTCATTTCATTTCACTTCTTTGGCCTATGCTTTTTGCGTCTATTCAAAGCAATTTTTTTGTGATTTATGTTGTATGTGTTTTTTGCTTAAATAACCACAAAAATCACCAAGTGCGACACGAGCTTTGGCCGCTAGTTCAATTGGCCCCGTAGATTTCTTAAACCAGTTTCCTCGTCTTTTCATTTCGTATGCGTGTTTTCTTATATATTTCTTTTGATTTCATCCCCGGGGTGGGGGCAGGCGGGAAAGTAAAAGTGTTGAACTGTACAATTATACGGTTTTATGAATTTGTATTTATATTTTGTAGGTATTTTTTGTTTGTTTTTTGTTAATGGCATAGCAAATTACTTGGTGCCAGATGACACTGTTACTTATATAAAAAGTTTCGGCTCCATAAAAGTAAATCAAACTCAAAACACCACTAAACAGACAAGTCTCTAGTCGCAATCACAGACTCCGATTCCGAATCCGAGACAGGCCCCAAAAATGAAGAGTTGAAGTTGGCAAAAAAAAAAAAAAAAAAAAAAACAATCCAGTTCAACTGCCTGGCCGGTTGGCCTTGCCAAGAAATGTGTATATACATATATAGGTAAGACAAAAATTTGGACTGACCATGTTACTTCATCTCATCGCCGCCTCTCGACACCTTTTACTCATCTTCTCTGTGTCTGTGGCATCTCCCCTTGGATGCTGTTGACTTCCACAAGTTTTGCATTTGAAACTTGTTGTTGTTGTCTTTATTATGTACTGTTAACTTGTTGTTTTTTTTTTATATTTTTGGTATTATCTTGATTTAATTAATTGGCTAGTTGTTGAAAATCGTTAATAGCAGTATTGTTGCCAGCTTTGTTTTAGATATTTTGTGTATATTATTTTTTGCAACTTTTTATTGTTTAAAAATTTTCTTTGACTTTTGATGCACAATAATTTTGTTGCTGTTGTAATTTTGTATTGTTCAACTGCAGCTTTTGTTTGATTTATTTGTGTTTGCTTTGACTTAAGCAAGCATACATAATTTAACAAAATTAATTCATTTTGTAAGCTTTGATTTATTGATCCATAGTATTTTAAAATTATGTATTTGGCGTGTTATATTTTAGCTACACAATTAAAAACAAAAGTAAGCTGCAAAACAAAATTTTAAATTATTTTACAAATCGGGTTTCTTCTGGCGTGGAAACCTTGAACTTTTGAAGATCGTACATTGGAATAAATAAATATATTATTTATTTATTTTTTTTTTTTATTGAGCCTATTCATTTTTAAATTCAAATTTTGTTGGTTTGATTTGTCATGATACCTTACGTATTTTACATATATTTATTATAATAAAATTTTGTATTTGGGAGGTTTTATTTTTTGGTTAAAAATTATGCAAAAGTTACACTGCGTTGATTTTAATAATGGTCGTATTTATGGATCGATTTTTGTTACTCCTATGAAATTTTCAATCAGTAACTAAAGTAGAACATTATAAAATCTATTACTTTTATTAATATAATAAAATATTCCAAAATTCAAATATTTTGTAAAAGTTTCATAATTTTACTATACCATTTATTAATTATTAATAACCCATTATTTTTCGAAAATATTTATGAATTTGAATTTTGATTTGGAGATGCAAATTTGAAATACTTAATTTTTTAATCTATAAAATTTATGTTTGCATTTAAATTTTAATTAATTAATTTTGTTCTTAATAGGGAAAGAACTTAAGGAAAATAATTTTCAAATTTTTATACATTTTTATATTTTTTACGTTCATATAAAATTAACTTTTATTTTTTTGCACGATTGTAAAACTATTTCCTGTTTTAAAAAATCGGCATAAGCCAGCTTATTGTATTGGCAAGGCCAAATGGATGCATTAGTCATGGCTTAAAAGCCATTGCATTTCTGGGTTAGGCCCAGCTGAGGAGCGGGCTTTGTCGCTGATGTGTTGATGTCGCCACAGAGCCAAACAATGGTGATGAATGGTCATTATGGTCGTGGCCAGTTGTCGTGGCAGCAGTGGCATCAGTCTCAATAATTGACATGGTAAATTTTTAGGTGTTTGCTTGACCGCGTCTCCGGCAACTTAGCGCACTTATGGCGCATAATGAAGCGTTAAAATGTAACGCGCAGCAGCAGCGGCGGCAGCGGCGGTAGTGGCAGCGGCTGCAATAACCACAACAGCAGCCACAACAATTACAAATACCTTTTGTACACTTGCCGCTGCTGCTGACGGAAGCATTTTGGTGGGCATTTGTTGTAGTTGTTGTTGGTTTCTTTGGGAAAGCATTTGGCCAGCTCGTGTGAACCAAAGAAAGCGAAAAAAAGGGTCAGCGACAAGAGACAAGAGATGCTGCCGCGTCTGCTTACGCAAACAGCGGCCGCTGCCTGCTGCCCGCTGGACACACAGTATCGCGCTTTATGTAACACTAAATACCTCCCCAAAAAAGAAAAAGAGAAGAAGAGAGAAAAATCAAAATTACAATTTTAACTGGCCAACAATTTGCGGTGCAAAGTCCACGGCTATTGGCAAAATTCTGACATTTGGCACATTAAACTAACAACATCAGCATGAATTGGCAAAAATACAAAATGGCTGCAATATTATAGGTTTAATAGGTGAGCGTCTGGAGTGCGAGTGTATGTGTGTACGTGTGTGTGCTTAATTAATATACATTTCAGCCAGTGAGCTTTCGGTTTGATCAGAATTTTGATCAAAAGTCTTAGACAAATTTCCAAGCGTCTTGGCTTAGTTTTTTTGTTAGCGCCCCAACTTACATTTAAATATAATTAAATGTTTGCATTGGCTGTCGATATTGATAAATACCGGTTTAGACGGCTAGAGCTTGTCTAGGAGTATGAACTGTAAATGTTTGAACGCGGTATATCGTTTGATAGGGTATATGTATTGTTTGTATGAGTGGGGTATATCTGTTTAAGTTGCTGTCATTAAAGAGTTGATCATTTATATATGCTATATAATTTATTATATTAAAATATTACATTTTTACCGCTTGCTCTTTGGCATAAAATATATAAATCTGAATTTAAAAAAAAAAAAATATTTTTTCTTAATTTATTTTTTCTCTAGCTTTAGTTGCCTAAAAGCTAGCAGGACACTAATCTGTAAATATTTCATTATTACTTTAAAAAATCAAATCTAAAACACTTTCTATTATACAGCCTGTAGAGTATTTTTTTGCCGTAAATACCTGTCAAAAAAAAAAAAACGTCACTTTTATATCTTATAAATTTTGTTCTTAGTTCAACAAACCGTCAACAGTAATTTGATCGAAATTTATATTTCAATTTGGCTGGCGACTGCGACTACAAATTACCCTAAAATGAGATCGATTGTTGTGTTTTCCATGTTGATGTTTGGCATTTACGGCTGCATTAGAGCCCACCCAGAGCAGTATTGTATTCAATATGATCTTATTGA